GTCGTCAGCATGCTCTATACCCTCAGAAAGCACTCTACAATAAGCCAATCAGAATCCTTGTTATAATTGTTCAATAATCTGATTGGCTGTACAAGACTAAAGCTGTCAAAAATGTCAAACCATCAAAGTTCAAAAACCATCAGAGTTCACATTCTGCATATGTTTACAAACTTAAATAGTTTGGCAGGTCGAATCATACACTTTTCCCTGAAGTTTTTTGGTCTCTAATACAGAATGTGGAGGTGAATTGTTCAGGGAAATCCGGCCGAATTGTGGCTCATAAAAACACACAACTTTTTTCCACACGACAATTACAAAACAAACTGCTCAAGGCGAGTGTTTTATGGATGAACGACAGCTGAATTCAAATTCCGAGAAATCTTCATGCCTGAAGATTTCTCGGAATGAAAGAGCCGGCTGCAGTGACTGATGTGGCCTTCCACTCAACGCATCGGAAAGGATATCAGAGCAAGTTCTCTTTTTTCACTCGAGGGGCAGCTGATGCAATCACTGAGGCATGTTTCATTGCGATGACCGGAGATCGCCATGATGAGCTGGCCGCGTTGGACCTCAGCATGATCGCAGTCGCTCTGACACCGTCATCATGATTAGTATGAATTTTAACTTATGCTACTTTTGCTATATTTTTCATTATTCCTGTTTTGTTTTTGAACACGGAACTATATAAACAACACGAGTGTTAGCTGTTTGATTTCTATTACCGTAAGTAAGCTTGCAATCTCACTGAGTGTGACAACCTTCAAACTCGGATTGTCCACTTCGTTTTCACTTTGAGAATTTTCGTCTCTGTTAACGTTATAATAACGTCAAATACGGCGCCTGGCATGTGTACATACCTTTGTTTGGTTGTTCTGTTGCTGAACTTGCCGACTTGCCTGTTCCGAAATTTCTCTTTCAATTAAAGAAAAAATAGAGAAAAGTCCCGGAAAGGTCGGGCATAGTACAATTTGCAGATGGCGTGACAGCTTTAGCTCAGCTCTATGCTCTATGCTCTATGCTCTGAACACAGCGGCAAAATGAGTGCGCATGCTCAGTTAATTTTCCGCTTTTCAGAAGCGATTTGTTAAACTAGCGTAGGTCACCTACGTTACGAATTTCGTTAGGGATCGAACAGAACATCGTTTTACAATATTTGGACTGATAAAGAGGTGATCGAAGGAGAAATGTTAAACAGAAATGTTTCGTTACGCTACGAATTTCGTTAGGGATCTAACAGAACATCGTTTAACAATATTTGGACTGATAAAGAGGTGATCCAAGGAGAAATGTGATGGATTTTGTTCTGATGGAAAAGTTTGAGGTGTAAGTAGAATTCTTTTAGTTAAAGTTCAACTATAGCTGATTTAAATGTGTCCAGAGAGTCCGTTGCGTGTTCCGTTCCATTCAGCAATTCTAGTTACAAAAGACATTTAATTATCGGTATTGTTTAGTTCAAGCTTTAAACTTGAAAAGCTTTTCAAAGTAACCTCTTTTGGTATTCAAAGCTGTTTACAATTGAAATCAGTTTTGTATCTGTCGCTAGTAATTACAACCTTGGTGCTCGGTCTACTTAATAAAATATGTGAACGTTCTTTTGATCTATGAAGCCTTTGAATGTGACGGTGTACAAGGCTATTCAGCCTGATTCTTCCACAAAACCACTTAACTTTAATAAATGCAATAACATTAATACCTGACAGATATCTGTAACCTTCTTTACGTCTGGAAATATGTAGATATCACTTCACGATCAACCGCCGTTGTTTGACGTTTACGTGCATTTCTTACTACACAGTGTGACTTGAAGTTGATGAAAATAACCGTATACAAATTTGCGGCCGTAGGTAGCTCTACCTTCAGCCAGTTCAATAGTTCTTCGATTTCACTGCGTTGAGACTGTGCGAATAAGGTGCCTTTTGGAAAGTGGAGATGGCTACCATCAAAATGATGTTGTCGTTTCACTTACAAATGTAAAAGTTAACTCATTAATTATTATGAAGGCAGCATTTGTGTTGGTAGGTCTTCTACAGAGGTGAAAAATCAGAGCAGATTTTTTACTTGAATTAGGCTCCTTGACAAAAAAACAATCTTCTTCATAGCTCAAACTATCCAGGCTGCTTCTGACAAGAGGTATGGCTTCGACAACACCAAGATGTGATTGTGACTGCATGAAACTGTCATATGTGGGATTTCCCCCCATCATACATGACATGAAGGAGTTGTTTGTTAAGTATGCCTTTGCTAACAACAAAGAAATAACTGTACAAGCCTTGCTGCATTGCCTCCCTATTTCTGACCGAGATTGGAAGACTAGCAGTTCACAGGATGTGACTGATTGTGTAGTTGAAGATGGCACACGAGTTAGAAAACTGTTGTTGAGCTACTGAAAGTGTTTGTCGTCAAGATTGATTGCATGAATCTCAAGACTTTTGGTGGCCAGGTTGCCTACAATTGAAAAGTGGTTTTGGCATAAATTTGTTACAGAAGCAGGCCTTTCTGTGGTCCTCTTTCTTTAGTGTTGTGGAACACTTGGTTGTGGTAGAGTTAGCTGTTCCAGATTTCTAGTTATCATATTCCCCCGTTCGTGGGTCTTGTAAAAGTCTGAATTCCAAGAAGTACGTATTTCTAGCTGTCTCTTGGGCTGTTCATGACTGTTGTGGCTGTCTGCAGTGTTGCTACTTGTATCATGCTCTATAAGACCTTTATTGAAGGAATCACTTAACTCATTTACTCTTGTTAGAAAGGGATCATAGCTCTATTAACTGGATCAGCAACTGCTATGATTGGGAGACTTGATGCCATATGGATTGCCAAACTGGCTTTATCAGTTGGTTTGATAGGCACATTCATAACTTAAAAATCATCAATTTGATGAATAACAAGTTTTTTGGTTTGAAAAAAAAATTATATCAATTTGATTGGTTGCTTATATGTTACAAAAATTTTTATGTTTATTGTTCATTGTATTGTTTTGCTTTATCTTGCAGGCTCTCAGCACAGTTTTGTCAACAACTTCCTTGTGGTTGTTTTGCCTGCTGCTCTTTAAACATGTCATTCATACATATTCCACTGCTGAAGCCCAAGATCTGGTTAAGCTTAGCATATCAAGGCACATTCCAGCCTATTTTTGGAGATGTGATGTTTTCCAAAATCTGAGGAAAATTGCATATTGTTCCTGTTGTCATACTTGAGAACAAATGATGTTTTGTATCAGTAACCGCTGACACTGCCAGAATAAAGCTGAGATGGAAATTTTGTAAATCAACAAAATATAATAATTCTTTATTCTTACAATGGCAAAACTTTAAGCAGGTACATAGTAGTTTGAAGTAAATGCCTAAATTAAGCCAACTTGTGAAATATTGGAATTATTCTTTGCAGCTCTAAATGTGACTGCCTCTCACTGATGGCATGTCCATCTGCATGCACTATTGTACTGATGAGGATGTAAAAGAGATGTAGTGCTGCATAGGTCTCACAAAATGCCTGCATATCATCAAATCTGTATGGAGATTGACCCCCACTCTCATAGTGCCAGTAAAAGGCTAAGTAAAATTTTTCTACTGGCTCTGCAAAATTATGTAATAATGTATTAAACCAGACTCTGAGTTATGTAGAAATATTTTCAACAATAAACATGTGTTTACTTGTAAAATATGAGCACAGAGCAGAACCTTTATCAGTATGTTATTGTTACTTTATTGATGTTGTCCTGGAGATGTTTGACCTTCCTTATGCAATCATACCAGAACTATGATAATTAGCAATATGATTGGATTGGTTACCTTTCTTAGATTATGTCCAGGTATAAGTACCGTAAAATTCCGAAAATAAGCCTCTCCATGTATAAGCCCCCCTGATTAGAAGTCCCCCCAAATCTGAAACGCAAAAATACCTCCTATAATAAGCCCCTCCAAATATAAGCCCCCGGGGGCTTGTATTTGGAAATTATCCTCAATTAAACAAATCAAAGCAAACTACACATCACCATTATCAGGAAGCCTTTTTTAGTCATAAAAGAATGATTCTGTGCACTAAAGCAACGTGGTCAACAAGTGTTGAAGTTTATTGTCTTTTACGCAGTTCTCTCTTCACTCGCGCCTTGAATTTCTTCGGTCCGTAGACAAAGTATTTGCAAGGAAGTTCGATCCCGCCACCCTGAATCTAAACTCCCTCTGGTGCTCCTCGAACGATTTGAGCTTTCATAGTAATTATGAACTTTGAGCCAGAACTACGTTACCGTTTTTACTGTATTTTCGTTCTAATAAAGGTTATTGTCATTGTGTTTGAACTTGGCACTTTCAGTGTGATCAATTTGTTACGAATTTCTAGCCAAAACCCTAATATTACCAGTTGCACATTCAAAAATTTTGACACAAATTTCACAAATTTCAGCCCAGCCAATTTTGAAACGCAAATTTCCCTCCTATAACAAGCCCCTCCGAATATACTGTCCCTTACAAAAAATAAGCCCCTCAAAAAGGTCCTTTGAAAAATATAAGCCCCGGGGCTTATTTTCGGAATTTTACTGTATGGTACTTACCATTGTTGGTGTTGATAAATTGGGTGGACCAGTCTGTGCACCAATTTCCTGACTCTCTGTTGAGCCATTGAATTGTGGTAATGCAGTAAGTTTTGGAGCATACATTTAACTGCTACAGCTTGTTAATCACATTGACCATCCATGGAGTCTGCGGGCACTCCAACTGAATTTTGCATGGCACTCCATCTCTATTTTTCACGTGCAAACAGGGTGAGAATAATGTCATCATTTATGTTATTGTTTATTGTGTAAATGGTGAAGTTCGTAAACCTAGAATATGCAGTAGGAGATGACAGCCTTTGAATATATCTAACGTTTTTCTCCTTACTGGCTTTTTATAAGTGGTTTTCGTGGCAAATGTTTTGTTGGCGTTTCTTCGAAAACTTGGGCACCACCGTACCCCTGTTTGATAACCAGCCTCACTTTTTTCAGTCTCGTGGTAATGGGTGTATCACATAGAGTGGAAGAATGCGAAGGTAACGGACACGATCAGATGTTGGTCGTTTTTCGTAACTGCTGATAATGAAATTCACACACAACGTTTCCTCGTCCCACCATTTCAGTATTTAAGGCCATTATTCTTTCTCTACGAGCAGAGCTATGGCGTATTTTTTTCTCTCAGACAATAAACATTTTCGCTGGGCGGTTTGCCTACTGAAGAGGCGATACAAACAAGTGCCATGATAATAACAGGGGCCTACGAAGTTCGTAGCCATGTTAAGAACGCTCAACTTTAATGCTAAAATTAACACCTGTGGCCTAAATACTTTTTTCGTTCGGAGAGATATGTTGCAGAGCAGGTTCGAAACAGACTTTCCTGAAAATAGGAACCCTATCTCTCGATGCTAAGGCTTATCCCCGCGAAATAAAAACAAACAATAAGAAATTTAAAAAAATGCCGCCATATCGCTGCAATCGTGTTACTAAGTGTTACTATGGAAATATTGTTATTCCCATTCCTATTCGGGCGTAAATTTTCGCGCGCGTTACATGCATGCGCACTTATTTTGCCGCTCTGTCTATGCTCTAAAACTCCCATAGAGCACGCTCTTTCAATCAATGACTACGCACGTTGTATCAGAAATTTGTTAAACGACTACCTGAATGAATGCTTCTCTCACGAGGTAGCAAAAAATGGTCGTTTTTTGCCTGTCGCTCTGATGAGGGGCTAAGGCTCAGCTTCTCAACTCTACGGTGGTCAATTTAAGTTATCGATCGGTCATACTAAACTATCTTGCCTACATAGATACTCTAACAGCTACCATTTCAATGAATGTTTGGTCATTACTCTCCAAAAAGGAGCGCTGTAAGTTTTTAATGAAGAGTCCATAGAGGGAGCGAGCTGGTCCGACCACCGTAAGCCAGCCGGAGAACAGTGCCTTCCTTGGGAAGACTATTCTGAAGAAAAGGCTTTAAGTAGAGTCTGCCTTTAAATGAGCCAAAGGCAAATGTCCATCCCTGGCGTTAGTTACGTTTAACACCTTTCCAAGGTTCATACGTTTCTTTGTTCATTTAAATGACCATAATTATTCCGCCGACCATTTTTCTTACTGTTTTGAAAATTACCTCTCATCAGCCGAGAGCGTGGGACATTAGCGCTATTGGCGAAATCTTGCATGCTTACGCACATTCCTCAACTATCGGGCGTTGGGTGCAACCATAGCTTCACTAATTCAAAAAAGTTTTCCCTCCCCTCAGAATTAAAAAAAAAAAGAAAAGAAAAGAAAAGAAAGTAGAGAAGAACGCACAAGTGGCGAGAATAGCTTGCATATTAATTGGGGGAACAACAATCGATCCAACACCAAATTCTCAAAGCAGAAATTTCAAGAAATGTACGGCGAGCAGTTGGGAGAACTTTCATCGCGACATTGAGAGTGGAAAGGTCAAAGATCTAGAACGGTGATTGATTCCACCAGTAACTAAGTACCCCATAGTCTCCGATCCTACTTAATGCTCATTCCCTTTCAGGACCACAAATCTTTCTAGCAACACCAGTTAACGAACAATGTACAGTTTTAAGACTTTATTTATACTACAGTTTGTTATCTCTGAAGCAGTTGCTTTTGATAATAAATAAATAAATTGAAATGTCCATATTTTTATCGACAGGAAATAGAATATTCAGTGAAAGATTCAAATATAATAGCAATTTGTCTAATAAGAAGAGTTTGAGGTTATTTCCCAGAATACAGCCTAAATACCTGGTACAGCTACACCCAGAAGTAATTTGGGGCAGTCTGCCCAAAGAAGAAAACACCCGAGATGGGAATCCACCCTCCTGCACACCTTCCTATACCCTCCCTAAGCAGACCAACAAATCCACCTTGATTAGAGCTACCCTTAAGCTGTGCAAAAAGTTGTGATTTTACTCCAACTGTTGTTTATCTGGCTTTACACTCCTATGGGCATTAATATCTAACAAAGTTGTAAATAGGACTAAACTTACATGTATGCTAGATAGAAATTGTTTGCACAGTAAGGGATGCTGTTAACTGCTTTAAGTAGAGCTCCATCATTGAAACCTAAGATTTGTAACTCTAGGGGGCCGGACATCTTCCACAGGAAACAAAAATTTTATCGCTCTTTGTGCAGTACAATGCACTGAAAGATTTCTAGGAAGCAGGATGGTGAACAAAAATTGTCAATTCAAGATAGAGTCTATAATTACAGATAATTTTATACATGTTTCTTTTATTTACTATGTTAAATAGTTGTTTCTTAATTGAGCCTTACTTAAATGAAGCACCATCCACATACCATTGAAAAACAGCTAGTCAGATTTAACTGAACTAATATATTTGGAGAGAAAGTACCAGGCTTTAAGTCCCTGTGAAATGTTGGAGAATGTCAAAACCTAATTCGATAGTACCTCAGTATCAAAGTCAAATAAGAAAAACATCTACCTTCCCATCAAATACGCAACTGGTGATCCACCCCGGAATCATTGATTGTCCTCTTATTTGCCTAAACCTGTTTCTACTAAGATCAATATCTGGAAGCATAGAAGAATATTGTGAAAAGTGGTGCTTCAATTCAACAAGGCTCAGGTATTACCTCTTTTAAATCTATACACTAGATTCTACTAGAGCCATAACCAAGAGTTGGTGTTGGCAAAGAAGGAATCATGTCCAGCAAGTATTGTCTATCAGAGTCTGACACATAGCTATGATGATGCTGTGGGTTGCGAGATCCAGAGTGATGGTGCTGACTTATATATGGATGCCATCTGACATCAGCTTGCTGTCTCGCTGCGGCTTCCAACTCCTGGTGTTGCTGCTGCAAGTGCTGTTGCTGCAGTTGAAATAACAGTGAGTTGGTGTGAGGCTGATGGTGGTGGTACAGTGCTGGTTGAACTGGTTGGTGATGATGATGCATGATAGGTTGGTGATGTGCAATGTGGTGACGTGGGGGTGCAGGTGCTAGAGGAGGCTGAGGAGAAGACTTCTGACTTTGGTGATGAGGCTTAGGTGCAATTTGAGGGGTATCATTAATTTTTTGCTCAATCTCTTGTTCCTGCTTAAGAGCTTTCAAGAATGCTGCCTTCAAACGAGCAGTGTGTTCTGCTTTAAGCTCTTTCTTCACATTAACAGTGCTACACTTTTCACACACAGTTACCAGCTCTGAGTCCTTGCCTGGCTTATTTGTCCAAGAAGGTGAGAAGTCTGTGTTACAACGTGAACAAACTTTGGGGTTTATCAATTGCTCTCGCAATGGAACATTATGTTTTCCCTTGGCTTCTTTAGCAGCCATAACATCCACCACAGACTCAAGCCCAACCAAAAGCATGAAGTCTTGGCTGCCAAGGCTTGGAATAAATGACCATTCAGGAGGAGGTGGCTTTGGTGGTGGTATCTGAAGCAGTGTCCTTTCCAACTGCTTTCGTAGTGCCATCTTGGCTGCAGCTTGTTTCCCACCTGGACTTTGCTGATGAGAACTACTTGGCAAGTGATGCTGAAATGACACATATCCACTGCTGGCTGGGAGGCTGCTAACATTGTTGGCTCTGACAGGGGTAGGGCGGACAGGGGCAGGCTGATTTGCTGCAGAATATGCTGGACTGCCTCTGCCTCCACTGTGGGGGTACAGAGGAGTAGGCTGAATTAGATTTGCCATGCAGGTGACAACATTTTGCAGATCTGCAATTGCAGATGATCCAGGTTTTGAATGTGACTGAGTTGAATGTTGATGAATGGACTGCTGCACTGCAAACTCTTTCAGGGTCTGGGCTGCAGGACCTAAAAATTTTGAAGATCCAGAGTTTGAGGACTGTGATTGAGCATTACTACTTCCTTTTGGAAGCAGCCTTGGCTGTCCTGGAACATCCCTGGGTGGATGGAAAGTAGAAGTGGCTAGTACTGTTGAGGCCTTCAAAGGCGGTGGGGGAGGAAGATTCTGACCTTTTTTAGGTGGAAGCTGCATAGAGGACTTCGCAGGTTGGGAAGAGGCTCCTTGTGTCTGTACCTTCTCCACATTTTCTTTTTGAAATTTGGAGCTACCTTTGACATCATTTTGTGCAGCATGTAGTTGTTTCAACAAGAGAAGTTTGGCTTCTTCTTGCTTCAGTTCATTTCTAAGGTGTGCAATCAATTTTTCTTTAGCTTGAAGATCATCATCATTTTCATCAGACAGAGGGGAATCTGGCCTTGAGCCATCACTAGTATTACCATTAGTGATTTTGACATCACCCTTGACCTCACCATTGTTCTTTTTCCTGCTGTCCAAAGAGGATAGCTTTGGTATTTTCAAGAATTCAACAATACTTTCCTTAGCTCTGTGGGATATCAAAGGTTTTCTCTCAACCCCATTTGCATTTGCAGATGGTGTGCTATTCTCCATGTTGCTTGTCTCCTTTTTGTTAAGTTCTTTCACAGAACTCAAACCCAACTGTGCTAGGAGATCCTCCTGGGAGATACACTCATCCAAGTCTGAATCCTTCCTTTCTACTTTTGGCTCTGTAGCAACCTTAATTTGTTTAGAATCCTGTTCAAGGGATTCTGTTTGATTCACTTGCAATTTGCTTTTTACAACATCAGGGAATGTTTCTGCCTCCTCCTTTTTTACAACAGGTTCCACAGTGTCTGTCTTAAGTTCCTTGTCTGAATCATCATCAGATGACGAAGATGATATTACAACTAGTTCACTGTCTTTCTTTGTTGACCTGCCAAAAGAAAACAGTACCATTTTTGCATGGATGAGCATATATTTAAAAATTCAAACTAGCTGTTTAGCATGCTGATAGTTATCCTTCTTAAAAGGCTCCAAAATATTGAAGTCCATGGGCTAATATTACACAAGTCCTTCATAAAGCTCACTATACAAATCTGTTCTTTGTTAAACTACTTCTTTTTATCTAAGGGGTTACTTTAGAATTTGCTCAGTTTCCTTGCCAACTAGCTAATTTAAGTACTAGTTTAAGATTCATTTAGTTCATAGTGTTCCAAATAAATTTTCACTCAGCTTTACTTCTATACAAATTTTCATAGTTCAAAGCAAAATTCCTTGCAAAATATCATGTTTGTGGTTTTGATATTAAAGCTTTCATTGAATTACAAGTGAGGGTTACAAGTGAGGTTCTCAACACAAAGTCACGGAAGATAATTTTGTATTAACTAGTGCAAAGATCTCAAAACACATACATGCATGACAAAACGGTCCAAAAAAGGTAAATGTAACAGAACATTGAGAATATATATGAATATAATCTCTTACTTCAACTTGTAGCAGTTGCTCAGTGGCATAAGTACACAGTTGTACAATAACAAAGATACCTGAACCTAAAGCCCTTTGGAACTTTAGACTAAGTTGAGTTCAAACAATCAAACACAGCCTTGAAAATTGACAGTTCAGTTCAAAGTTTGACATATGGTACCCTAACATTCAACAAGTAAGAAATTATGAACTGATATACAAATGAGAGCTTAAAAATAAAGATAAATAAAAATACCCAAATTCTGAGTTATCAAACTAAGCATTTCTTTTTCCTAATTGTAGACTACACTACTTTCATCTAACATTCGAACCCAAAACATAATCTATGAGCTATTTAATAGAGACCAGTTACATATGGCTGTGTCAAATTTGAAACTTTCAATTACCTATTTGGAGCACAGAAAAGATTGAGTATAGTGGTTAACTCTTGCAACAACCAAACTGTAACCACTGATAACTGGAACGTGGTTTTGGTGTGAGATTAGAAGCCAGAGAAAATGAATTCTACATGTATTTGAAACTTTACAAAGTCCCTCAAAAAGAAAAATGCGAGGAACATACAAGAAAAGCTGTGATGTGATGCACAATTAATTGACATTGGACAAGACTGGCATCTGTTTTTATGCTTTAACACTGTAATTTAACGGAAAACGAATCATCTTTTCAGGATGTGATGAATGACTCAGAAATTCAGACAAGCATTTTAAAAAGACAAAAGACCACCGAGATGAGGATCTTTGAAAGGAAACGACTTGAAACCCTTTTAAATGTCATAAATGAGTAGAGCACGATTAATCTGAAACGATAAGAGATTTCTATTTCAAATTCCGTTCCTACGTGTTCCATCCTTAAATGAAAAATGACATGACAGAAGATATAACTATCCACAGCAAGGGTCGATCTTCAATATTCTTAAGAAAAAGGCTTTGTCAAGACGCGATTAAAGGAATTACTCAGTATGTTGGCTCGTGTTGCAGGTGTGACGTTAAGATTAAGGCAGCACAAAGACGAACTCGAGTGGAAGATGTTCATTAAGCAAAGGAATTATGAAGCCATACATTCGACAGCAAATCAAAAAAAAATTCATCAAGTATTCGACAAGACACCTTTTCATTACAACACGTGTATACCGGTAAGATCGTGCAAACCACATTTCCTCATCATCATAGCGTTAGATTCCTCAATTCGATTTCAAGGAATACAAAATTGTTCCACAGTATTATTTTTGAGGGAAGAATAAATTTTACTCACTTTGAGTTTTGCTCGTCGCTGGATTCGACTGTTTTTTTATCCAAAGCCATGTCAACTGATGATTGACCCTGTTCGCCAGTAGTACAACTGTTTACATCATCTTTCTCATCGGAGTTTGGCGATAATTTTATTCGCTTGGAACCCTTTGATACAGCTTGTGATGCCATCCCTATTTATACAAGATATTTCCAAGTTAGAGGTTATCTTGGAAATTTTACGATTCGACAGAACTCACATAGAATTTTGAATCATAACAAAGACAGTGATCTCCCATAAATTTGCCGGCAAAATGTAGAAACAGCGGCTTTCCCCGCGTGACAGCCTACGTTGTAGATTTCTTTACCTACCGATATAAAGTGAATCCAAATACTTTAAATACAAAAATGCTGAAAAATAACCATGACCAAAAACCATAATGACCAAAATATGGTCCTTCGTTTGCGGTATTTCACAGAGTAATAAGAATTTGGCGCCAATGCAATATGGCCGACACGACACGAGCTACTTGTAACGGAAGAGACACCCGCCGCTCAATCTGTAAAATTTTTCGCCGCTATTCCACTGGCGACGGTGAAAATAATTCAAACCAAAAATACCTTGTTCTCCGTTGAGGTATTTTAAGAACAAAACTCCACATTCACAAGATAGGAAGCTCTATTCGTCCAGTTGAACGTGACCGACTCGAGGACGAGGCTGGCACAAAATTATAATTTGTGCAGCGAATGGTAAAAAAAGTGATTATTCAGTCTGCATTGAACAGCGACAGTAGATTGCTCGAGTAGTTTCTGTTTCCGTTCTTCGATTTGTGGTTACTTGGTGGACCTTTCTTCGTCGAGGAAGGCTGTAAAGATAATTCACGAACTTCAGAGACCAACTGAAAACGGAGTTCCTTTCATTCGAAAGCCATGTGGTGTTTTGCAACAGCGGACACGACACATACAATGGCGGTGAATTGAAGGTTAGTCGTTCGTTGAATTATATTGAATTGCGCCCTTGCCCGGCTGAATATGGTTATAAAATAAACTGTGAATCCTCGTGGGACTTAATACTCGAAAGTGACACCGAAAGCCTTTCTTGATTTCCTCTTGGCGAGCAGAAAAGTATTTGGGATTTTCAAGCAACAGAGGCAGGGGCGGGAACATGAAATCAAACGCCACACAACCTTCTGATAGACGTGTGCACAAAGAGTCGGCTCCCACACCCGCTGCGTTGAAACGACAACCTGTCAATCAGCTGCTAAATAGACCAATCAAATTCTGGAAAACGCTATCAGATCTTCTTGTTGCCTGGGCGACGAAGCTGTACAGTAAAGGGATGACGTAATGGACTTGACATCCGGGAAAGTGGTCAAACCGGTTTGACAAGTTTATGTGCAGGTGTTATTGGCAGTACTCGTGACGTTTACTAATCCACTTATGATAACACCTTGTGATTGGTTGGATGCCGTTGGGTAATTGGCGGCAGGCAGAAAAAGACTCGATAAACAATCAGTAATCTTTCCTCGCCTTACCACAAACAAAAAGTACCGAAGTAGTTGAACTGTTACCACTTGGCAATGATGCAGGAAAGAGGTGCTGCACCCCTGGCAGCCCAGATGGTACTACTTGTCGTTTTCATCACAGAAAACTCATCACTTACTTTGGAAAGGGTGATTCCCCTTTGAAATAAAAAGCTTCAGTGTTCATGATCATGAGGGGTGTACATGGGCCATCCCAACTTGGTAGATTCTTTGCACCCAACCCCAGCCAAATTGTACCCTTCTGCAGCCTTCGGTATTGCTACTACATGATTTAAAGTGGTTGTACACATTTTTGTGAAAACTTGGTGAATGTCAAAATTTTGTTACAAATGCAGGAAAATTGCACGGTAAGTGACCCGGAAAAAGACGAGCCGGTCAATTTTGTCAATTGACAGGTGAGGATTTTCGAAATGCTTCAATTGTTTCTCAAAACGAAAGACTTGTATCCCTCAGTAAACTGTACTGTCGCACGAGATGTACTTTCACGTCACATGTATAAACTCTCCGTGGAATTCGAAAACTTAATTTATGCAAGGACCAGAGAACGTTGTCAATATGCAATTGTTTGCTTTCAATAAGTCATTATACGCACGATTGATCAGTGAATGTTCATTGGATACTTAACCACCAAAAATAACAATGCTTGTCAATTTCAATTACTTTTGTTTGGGATTTGTAAATGATATGGCTTTCCGTATTAAATTTGAAATGTCAATCCAAATATAGCACATTCAGTAAACGTTCGAAAATTCACGCCTTCGTAACTGTCTCCAAATATTTTTGTACTTTTGAATGTTGCGAAGCCTTCCATAAGCCATTCGATTTTAAGTTCAGCCAAGTCACGGAAATCAGTGAAATTCGCACACACAGCGTTTTTTTTAAATTTTTGTTACTAAATGTCAAGTGCAGAGTCACCTTTCTCTTTTGAAGATTCGGAACATTGCGAGGAAAAGATACTGTAGTACGACAGAGAAAAAAAGAGATAACGAAATATATATTTACTATTTTCATAAAATTGTCAAAGAACGTTGAAATATATAACTACATCAGAGGTTTCCTGACCCTTAAAACGTTTTCTTTAAATTGATTGATCATAACTTTAAAGTAACGAAAATAAGTTGTTTCTAAGTGATCACGGGAGTAAACATTTTCACCTTGATCGAAACAAAAACGTAAAATGCACCGGACAAAACATTCAGGCAGAAGAGAGATAAGAATACATCAATACAAAATAAATAGAAATTCGAGATAAAAACCATAAACCTTATAAACTGCATCGATTTTCATCAGATAAAACCTGATAAGGTATAACAGATCTTGTGGCAAAAATCAATTATAAAACATAGCTCTCTTTTTGGGGCTTTTGAAGGAAAAAATAAACAGCTGTCTTTTCTATTTGGACTAGCTTTCCCTAAGGTCACCTTTATACAACATGAAACCCTATGGGGAATAAGCAATATTGCCAACAATAGATTTATCTAAATGAAAAGCAAAATATTTTGAAAGTGAGAATTTTGAGAAGTATCAGACAATTGCTAGACTTATCAATACAATAACAGTGATTCATATCAAAAACTGAGATCTCAGGGAGTAAGGTAATACATTATGCAAAATTTAATTGTATACTAAATACAAATGCTGATAATTATCGTTGAAAAAAAAATTTACAAAATATTCAGTAAAGGATTTTAACTCCTCAGAACAGATGATTACAGAGAGTAAAACTACATTATAAAATCAATCAATATGGTTGCTGTTAACAATCTCGGTTGAGAAATGCTACTATCTCATTAAAGTTGAAGAACACAACTTGTAATTGATGAATTCCTTATTTTCCTGGAAATGTCAGGTTGCCTGAGGAATGAGGACAGCAGAACACCTTTAAATAACTTACAAAAAGAGCGCAAAAAAAAAAGAAGAGGTATCATTTTCATTACACCTTTGACCCCCGAGAGTGACTCGCATCTAATTCCCACTTAGAATGTCACCTCTGAATCACATTAAGGTCATAATGATAAAGGAAATGATCACCAACTGGAGAGCTCTTGATTGTTAACCCTGTCACTCTCAAGATCTCATTTGTATTTCTCCTTACTTTCTGCCATACAAATTCTGATAATGTGAGTTCAGATAATTTGATATTGGATCAACTAATAATCAACTAATAATCTCCTAATTGACATTTTCCTTTGTTCTTATTACCTGTGTACTTTATATTGTAAGGAAAAATTCTGCTTTGGTCACTGATGGGAGTTAATGAGTTAAACAAATTCTCCTTGTCAGCAGCTTAAGAAATGTATAGAGAACAGTATAGAGAATATGCATGCTGATGTTAGGGTGTTAAGGGTTTGTTGAGACACCTTTCCTATAAGATAAGAACAACTTCAGGAACACTTCATCGTCATAATTTTATTTGCCTCTTTAACCATAATAATAAATACATTTACAGCATGATAATAATATTACATGAGAAGACCTAAAGTCCCCCCCCAAGCTTATGGGAGGAGCCATCTCACTTGCTACAGTATTTTTATAAAATTACCAGTACTGCTGATAATGTGCAGCTTGGCTAATTCAGTGATTATTTCAGTAAAACCCTTCTCATTTTTGTCTTAGAGCTATACCATTACATTGCTTGGGAGGCAATTTCACTGATTCTTAACTGAAATTTGCTTTACAATTTTTATTGGCAAACATGACTGAAGGATGGCACTAAACACAGTGTAAACATACAGATTCTTTCATAATTGTCTACTAGGGTGTGTAAAATAAAATCCTGACTGACAGAAATTATCAACAACTTTAAACTTGTTGTACACAGGGTGATTCATCAGTTTGAAGGGAACTAACATAACTATGAAGAACAAATCCTTTGGACTTCCCCATTCTTAATTTAAAAAAAAACTTTCAATATGCAAGGAGTCCCTGTTTCAGTTTTTGGGCAAAAGATGAGAAAAGACCTGTTGCACAAAAAATTGCTTCTGGAACTACATTTACAGCAAAGGCTAAGGGAAGGGGTTTGGAGGAAAAGAGGGGACTTGCTTACTTTAGGTGGACCAACCTTCAGTGATATTCACTTCCTGTAATGGCAAGCAGCAAATTGGTAAAAACTAATAGTACATGAAAAAGTTACTCTTTCACTAGCTTATTGCATGCGCATGTTTGGATTTCATCACTTGCTTTGACAATTCAGATTGATTTTGATTTTAAGTAATAGAAAGACTATTTATAAATTAGGTATATATTTATGTACATATTTACATATTCTCTCAAATTAAATTATTTTGTACTTGTGCTCAAATTAAAAAAATATTTATGAAAATTAATGAGAGAAGTCTTCATGAAAAAAGTCCATCAATGCTTTGTGCATTATGAAGTGTTTGTATATGGTGACAACAATCCTTTTAATGCCACTGTCAGACAGAGTAAAGTAGTTGTTTCTTGGTTATCCTATGGTCTGCAGTTTTCCATGACACCATTGTTGAAAACAATGTAGAAATGCTTGGATCTCACAAGTAATATACAGATTCATGGATAGGTGAACAAATTGAGTCATAAAATTAGAATCGTCTTGAAAAACTCAAACTGTCATACTAAGGATGTCACTATTTATAAAGAGATGCCAATGAAAACTATTCATGACAAACATTTGATGATGATAACCATCCCACCATTTGGAATCTGGAAAAGGGTATTTGAAAACATTTACATGTATGAACATACACATATGTCTATGTTTCTATAGTATTGCTATATATTTTCAGTGTGGATAAGTAATGAAATTTTATCACAATGCACCAATCAACTGTTCTCTCATTTGAGACAAGTCCAGATCCAAGGATGTTACATCATGCTACTAGGCCCAGCTTGAGGAAAGGTTGTTAGCAGACCTGTTGTCTGCTTGGTTGCAGATTGTCTTGAAGGGCTGATACCACCAAGCCACTATAAGGTAATACAATACACATACAAGTTTTAAAACTAAACAAATTGTAAGTATTTGAGAAAATGCACTTTGAGAAGTAATCTGAGAAAACACCACCAAAACAGCAACATGATAGTGTTCTCTTGCACAAAAAAATCCTTAAAACTGCCCAACAATAAAAAAATGCCACCTGCACTCAAATCAATCATGTACATCACCTGCTAGTGAGCCCACAAATTTACAAGTGTATGGATATGTGTGCCTCACTTCTGCTTATTTGTCTGTTTACTTAGTACTCACAACACATCATTCATTTAATCAAATAAATGTTGTTATCAATGAAGGAAATCATTCCACTGAACCTCAGTAAGTCTGTGCTCTGGCATCTGACCAGCTTGCATATGACCTGAGAGAAAGAGATAAAATGCAAATGTAAAACTTAAACTTACAAAACAAAGTACTATTTGCACTTCACAAACAAGCAATAAAAAATCTCAGTCCATCCATGAGAAACAAGCAAGAACTTTCACTTTATATTATAAATTACCACAAGGGATCATAATCTAGCAGCTATGTAAAGTTTAACAAATTATTTTGAATACTAAAATATCAAAACATCATTGATAATTGACCATATTGTTCAATAATACTGATGACATTCTGATCAGTACGGGCCTTGATATCAAGTTTTAAAATCATTTATGTGTCTTTGAGAATCACAATTAACTTGAAATGGTGTATTTTACTAACACAAAGACTACAATTCAACACAATCAACAGCATTATTAGACAATTACATACTTTCCAACAATTGCTTGGTAAGGCTATTGTGTAGCTGATAGTATTCACTGGCAGAAACAGGGTCACCCATGATTCCATACAGATCTGATGATAACAAATCATTATAACCCAATATAAAGCCCTCCACGTAAGTTTTAAGAACATGTGCTGCTGTACTTCTAGACAGAAAACATACCTTGCCAACAATTTTCCCATTTTTTGAATGTATCAAGGGCATTAAGGCCATTTTGTTATTCTTCAAGCCTGCCCCTCCCTGCCCTTGCCTGCCCCTTCCCTACCCCCTCCCTACCCCCTCCCATAAGGATAAAGATCACCAAAAACCCTATGTGAGATCTAACAACCATCACATAGAAGGCTCTACCAGAACTCCATGCATCACCCTATAATAATGTAAAACTAACTCCTTTGCACACCTTTAAGCAGATCTACATGTACATGTATTTATTTAATAATACCTCAATCAAATTGTCTTTAAATTTCAATTACATGTAGCACATGTATAGGTAACAACATGATTTCAAACTGTGTAATTTTGTGCTAATGAGCACAAGTAAATTGGCAAAGATAACAAAATTGCTCCACCAAGTGCAATTTGTGGTCTTTGAAAATTTTATAAGTGCTTATTTACACCACGTTCCATATAAAATCATTTAGTTACTTGTTAATAATTAACATGAAAAATACATCACAGAAAGTCAAGACAGATAAAATTTTGGCAGTGCAGGCATGCTTTTTGCAATTTGCACTCATGTTACTACTTTGCACTCATGTTACAACTTTGGACTTGTGTTATAACTTTGCACTTATGTTACATGAAAAATGCACTAGTTTTCAGCCAAACAGACGTGCATAATTTTTACGTATATTATCAACTTGATTATTTCACTGACCTCTCAGTAGTGATGCAGCCCACATATTAATGTAAGAGTCTGGTATACGGCCAGCCAGTTGATTTGCAGGCAAAGCCATGTCAAGGGCCTCCTTAAATTAGTAAATAAATGTTAAGTGAATAAATATGTCAAAAATAAACAAGTGAATGAATAAAAAAATGTATACATAATGATGAAGATGATGATCATCATACATGTAATAATAAAATAAAAACAAAACAAAATAAAAAACAAGCAAACAAACAAGCAATGCATAACCTGGGTAATCCCTTGAGATAAAAATGTGCTTCCTAGCAAGACCAATGAACAAGCTGTTAGTCTGTTGAGATCTTCAGAATTTGCCATCTTTAAAGTTTCTCGCAGGTATTTTCTGTCGAAAAAATTGCAAATAACAAAACTATCATGAGAAATCTGAGTTGCCTAAATTTACCTGCTAAAAAAATTACAACATATGAAAAATAAAAGGAAAAGAATTGCAACATAACATAATGATTTACACCATAAACATACTTGGCATCCATGAAATGTGAATCAAAGAATGATTGCAATCCTCTGATATAGTAGTAACCTGCCTGGTGACTGTATGACCTTGGCATGAGAAAAATAAAAAAAATAAAAAAACATACCAATATACAATTCATTTTGAACTAAACAAGCTCTTATAATTAAAAAAAAATGGATTGCAATTTCCAGTCTTAAATTCATGATGCCATGGTTTCTTTTTCACACAAATTACTCCCTAATAACAAAATTAATGGATGTTCAAAGTAAAAAAAAAAGAAAAAAAAAACTACAAACAAGTATAGTAGATTTACAAGATGTGTTTGTATTCATCTCTGTTACACAGATCAAGGTTATAACTTTTGCAATGTAGAGCCAACATCAATATTGTCCATTGCAACGTTTTGCTGATAGTAGAGCAGTCAAAACAATGTAATCAATACAATTTAACGGTAATGACTACATACCATGAGACAACAAAATACCGACAGTAGTCATTCACTTCTATAAAGATCATCATGTCCAAAAAATTTGAAGGTTTGAAACTCATTATTTTGAACCATTCCTTATAAAAATTATTATACATTTGTGATTCATTTGGTTTGTTCCAGTAACAATACATATGAGAACTCCAAAACCATACACATGAAAACTCCAAAACAAAGGAAAAAAAAATAGAATACTGAAGCTACAGCAATTAAATGCACTCAGTAGAAAACTATGCAAAGAAAAACAGTGAAACTGAAAACACATATTTCAAGGTTGTTGAAATTAAACTTAACATATGATTTTGTCTTTACCCTGAAGGAAGCTGATCTGGTCTTATCTTTGCTAAAAGATTTTGGAGCTGCAAAGAAAATTCATAACATCTAATCAACATAGCATATCTGGTAAGAAATGACCAAAGTAAAAAATTCCTAAAGATACTCATTATGTATCAAGGGTGTTTGGAAATTTAACCATCTCTTTTCAGCTGAGAGAGAAAAAATATATAACCAAGGCTTCATACCTTGAAGCAACTTCAGTCATCAACACCAAAGGAAAAAAAATAGTTCTGTTTTACTTTCCCTACCTTTATATTTTGATTTCCTCCCATTCCAGATCGAATGTAGATAATTGCCATATTCAAACCAATGAAATTTCTCAGTTCTGGCTCTCTGCTGGTCTAAAGGTAAAAGTACTGAGCTAGCATCTCCTGAGTTGACATCTACATCTTCAATAGCTATGAGCTGTCACTGAATGACAATTAATTAAGCTACACATATGTATACAAGCTTCAGAGCAATCATGATATTTCATGTTAAATGTAATTCACAGCTACTGTTTTAAAATGAAATTAACTGTTTCCTTACAGCTGATCATCAAAATCTTGAAGTTTGAAAAGTTCTTCAAAACTCAATTTTTGAAAAATCCAAACAGGAAACTCAAGCCCCAAAACTTGATTCTCAAAAGTTTCAAAAATAAAGAATTGAGTTTTGAGTGGAGAATGTCAACTTACATTCAAGAAGCCCTGCACATACAATGTACATACCTCAAAGGCAACATTGAATTGTGCCACTGCTGAATCCATAAGATTCATGGACATTGCATATAAACCCTGAAAAGAGAAAGTAACATGATTATAAAGTCTTTGTTTTTTGGTGACCATCACTTGGATTAGGGTGGAAAAAGATTTATTCAATACTGGTAACAATAGAAAAATGATAAAAAGCAATAAACGATCATCATTAAATGTACCAAAAGAGTGTGAATGACAGATTGATGGGCTGTTAAAAACTTTCCATCTTGTTGAGCAATTTGATAAACTTGTGAAATCTAAAACCAAAAAAATCAAAGAATCAATTAGTCAGTTGGTATGTCAGTCAGTCAGTCAGTCAGTCAGTTGATCAATCACTCAGTCAGTCAGTCAGTCAGTCAGTCAGTAAATCAGTAAATACATCATTCTAATGAGTAAGTAAAATGTACAATTATTTTACATACACTCAGGCAAATTTTTATGCAAAATCTATGGTGAGCTGAATTTAACACAAAAAAGAAATTGTTTGACACATAAACACAAGTAAATCTTCTTGGCCTTTAGTTTGAAAAACAGAACATGATATTAAATAAATGAAAAAAAAAAGGATACAGATTACTTTTCCCATTTTTTTGCTCTGTCACTACTGTAATTTTGCCTTCTGTTATCAGGCTCTGTTTTATTAACTGAATGCCTAGGACAGGCTATTCATGCAATAGCAATCATTCAAAAATTATTGCAAATACAACAGAGATAGCAAAATGAACCTCTTTTATAGCTTGTGGCATCTGTCCTTGCACCATTCTACAAAGAATCATGTGTTCTAGAAGCACCAGTTTAAAAGTTGACAACAGTCCAGAGATTGGTTCAGCAGCTGTAGACAGTAACACACACAAAAAAACATTTAACTCTTCCACAAGATCCTTCAAAACATTGACATCTACATCTGACATATACATTATAAGACATTCTTTGAATCAGAAACTCTAAGGATTTGTACAAGAAAATTTAGAATTCCAAAGATCTTTGTGCTCCTAACTGTTTGTTAGGAGCACAAACTTCACTAATTGTCTGTTTAGTGAAGTTTGTTCATTAAGAACCTTACAGCCACAGTAAATACATCTATGGCAGATGTCAATGAGATCCTAACCCAGAGTATAAACTGAAAGTAAAAAAGTCTTCTTTTCTTTTTCAAAGTCAACTTAAAACTACATGTACATGTACGTCAATGCATGTTAACATGCATGTACAACAGTTACAATAATAATACATTTGAAATTGAAAAACATGCTCACCTTTTAACCTTTGCACTTGAAGGAGAGCCTTCTCACTGTATTTGATTGCCTTTTCCATAGACCCCGAATACATGGAGTGCATTACAGTTACCTTGAATATTTCAACAATGCAGTTATAAAGAGTAAAAAGTTATTGACAGTGTTATAGTGCAGACTCAAAGGTTAAGTATTTCCTTTCTATATTCTATGCAGAGACAAGGGCCCACTTCAATTAAACCCACTCAGTTTACTCTGCAGTTGATTTACTACTCTGCAAGGTGCATGTGAAGAAGTAAATTCCAAATGCTGAGGAAATGTACAAAACACAAAAACACTCACAGGGAAAAGGTTTGTAAACATAGAAGCACAAATAAAACACACCGCTAAAAGGGGCATGAAACATGAAATGTATAAGGCAGCATAGTTTACCTAAACCACAAATAATGGTGGAGAAATGATGTGTGAAAAAATGAAAAGAATTAATGCAAATTAATGTGTAGGAAAAATACAAGAAAAAAATCAAGAAAATAACAAATTTGCCACAACATTTTTTACAATGTTCTCTCTGTTTCTCTATTAAATTTTTTTACAGTAAAAGGAACAGAGAGTCCAAGGAACACAATGTATTCAATAAAAAGGGATTTATCCTTACTTAAGTTTCCTAACTACCATACATTGTTTAATTTAACCCTGAAACCCCCAAGACTGATAAGCATCTTATTTCTCCCAACGGTATCTCTTCAAAAATGAACATTAAGGGCTCTTATTGTTGGACAAATTTCTTCTTGTGAAGACCATAGCAAATGTATAGAGAAGAATAAGGAGAACTTGCATTTTGATGTTCAGGTATAAAAGGTTAGATAATCAATGCTAAAATCTGCACAAGACAGTTCAATCTCTTTGTTATTTATACTGGTGTTACATCGAGTATTAAACTATGTCTCACAAATGAGATGGATATTAGACTCTTACCAAATAAACCAGGACACAAAGATGTTCTTTAGTGAGCCATTCAAAGCGTTCTGCCTCATGGATTTGTGATTCTGCAAAAATAAAATCAAAAAGGCAAAGTTAAATCAAGCACTGACTCTATTTACATAGTTAGATGAGTTTTGATGCCATCTTCGTTGTTTTCCACTTTTCCTAATCAGTCACCTGTCCCTTAGTAACTTCTTCCCACTGGAAAAATTATGCATGTTAAAGTAGAAGAAATAAATCTTTTCCACAAAAAAATTCTTATTGATTTTGACTCTAACAATAAGCAGATCATTAGAATGTTAACAATGTTGTACTACCAGTTTATAACAAAGTAATACTTGTCAGTGGCACATACAGCACTGTAGACACCTGTGACTTTACCTACAAAATCATATTAAATTAAAGTAAACATACCATCCAAACTGAGAGTTGTCAAAAGCTGTATTGATTGTTGCAGTTGCTTTAAATGTGGTCGAACACTCTTTGCCTGTAAAAAGAATGAATACGGCAAATGATTGCAATCTCAGTCTTTTTCACAAGTAGACACAATTTTTTTTATTTTTTATTAACACTGAAAGTGGTGGTAAAATAATAAAAAATGTAACTTTGATCATGCTAACTGCAAAAAATATTAATTTCAATCATCAAAAACTGTTGCATTAATACACCATATAAGTGTGTACCTTTCCATAAGGAGAAAGGACTACAACAATATGCAGAAGTGTACATTTTTACCTGTCCAAGTTTTAAAAAGGTCCACACTCTTAACAATAAGTAAAACACATGGATTGATTCTCGCTGATAATTTGAAATGTTCCATCGTTCCAAAACACTTGCAATCATGGACAAGATGGAAGTTGCGTGATTCAATTCTTTAATCATCATAAATGCCTATTGAAAAACAAATGCAAAGATACATCATCAATAATGAGATTAAACAGTATACTGTATACAGAGCTCACCAACAATTGCCCTGATTTAAAAAAGGGCAAAAAGAAATTATTCAAACATTGAGTCAATTGTCTTGGAGGGTAGATACTGTCAGGGTAGCAACAGAGGATTACAGCAATATTTTTAGCAGCAATATTTGTTTTGAGCCCCTGTCAGCAAAACACCAACAAAACAGTGTGTGGAATGATTACTGACCCAAAATACCCAAAGGAGGGAGGTAGATGAAGTACAAGCAAGGTAGCAAAGCAAATATAGGTAATAAGTAACATGATTTGTAGTCTTTGAAAAATTTACAAGTGTTTATTTGCACCAAATTGCACTCAAAATCATGTTGTTACTTGTTAGTAATTAACATGAAAAACCCATCACAGAAAGTCAAGATGGATGAAATTTTGGCAGAGCATGCACACTATCTGTAATTTGCACTCATGTTACATGAAAAAGCACATGTTTTCAGCCAATCAAATGTACATAACTTTTTCATATACATTATTAATTGAGAAACAGCACTGGTGAATGCTCCTTGAGCCTTCCCTTCCCCACCTTTGCCGAAACCCCATCACAGCTCATTACTTTACAAGTTTATGGGTTTCTGTGTTTGACAGTAACATTAACTTTATTTTTCCTTACAAAAGGAAAAGATTCCAAGAAAATTAGATATCAAAAGTTAAGGAATGCATTCTTGCATCTTCTGCCCTTACTTTAAAATCAACAAGTAAACCACATCTGAAATTATTCTACAATTGGAAAAAGTAAGTTATGAGAATCATACCATAGCTCTGCTCAATGCAAAAAGACACCTGAAACAAAATGATCAAAATCAGTTCATTCAAATTCTAATTTCCAATTGAAAATTTTTAACTAAGTGCATGCAGTGGAGTTTAATTTACATGATTTAAACAAGTGTCATCTGAAATGATGAACCATAACAAAACTATGAAAATATGTAATCTACATGTACTGACACATAACCATTCCGTTTAACCAAAATGACCAAAAGAAAAACAATTTATTGATGGATTTCATGTAATTCCTTTATTCCTACCAATTAGAGCATGTAATTAATATTAAAGTGGGACATATAGTAAAAATGCAAATTTCTCACTTCATGTAATGTGAACAACACTGTTCTGCAAATCTCTCTCCCATTTCCAGGACTTCTGTTGCAGCCTTTAGCTCTTTGTCATTCGCATGCACATCCTGAAATAAATCAACAATTATATTTCCAGTAAGAAATTCTCTGCAAAATTCAAATTACTTCTTTTTAAGACTCAAAATGTACCCATGATATTACACTGCAAGCTTTGTTGCAGAGTAACTCTTAAACCTTTAACTCCCAAGATCTGATTGTTAATTCTCCCCTCTAGCTGCTACACATTTCCTTGTGAATTAGTGACAAGAATTTGTTGTTTGATTGGAATGAGAAAACAACTTCTACCTGACACATTTGAGTATTCTCATTACCTGTTTGCTGGATATTGCATGGATATTGTAGGGAGAAGTTACTTGTTTATCATTTCTGGGAATTAATGGGTTAATAGAAGTTATAATTAATCTATTAACCCTTTAACTCCCAGATCAAATTGTTAATTCTCCTTATTGTCAACTGTATGATTCTTATAATTTAGAAAGAAAAGAAAATTTAGTATCGAATCAAATAATTATCCCCAAATTGATATTTTTCTTTATTCTCATCACTTATCTGGTTAACATTATATTGATATTGTAAGGAGAAACTCTGTCTTGTCCACTCATGGAAGTCAAAGGGTTCAGTACATGGACAATATTAATGCTATAATCAAGTACACTTAATTCTCTTAATATAAAAGTGGAGTGACTAACACACCATTTTAGATTGTGAACAATTCACACAAAATATGGCAAACTGACAAGCAATTCATTGTGAAATTGCAGTAAGCACTTACTGCAGCTCCAGATGAAGACTTTTCTTCACTTTTTCCCTATACTTTTAAATATTTATCTCTTAGCACTTCCATGTCTGAAAAACTAGTTTGCTAATTTCCATGCTACAAAAGATGCATTTCCAGCCCTGGTTTCTCCAGCCAGGCTCAAAGAACTATGTGTCAACATAAAAATATTTTTGCTACCACACACAGGTCATGTAACTTCATAAATATACAGACATACATGTTATTTCCTTATGTGACAGAGTAGCCATTCATAATATTTCAGCCTATCACAAAACTTACAGCTAACTGGAAAGTGATCTTGAATTGCCAAAAAGGCAAAATGCTGGCATGGGCAACCTCTAGAGCCTGCCGCAGAGTAGACTTTGCTAGTTGATACTGGCTCTGAAAATTAATATTTAAAAGTGAACTCACTGTTTAAAAAACATAATCAATGCCATGGTATTAAATAGCTAGGCCCTTAAACAATTATTAACAAATTGGGTTGTATAACCTTGTTGATGTAATCATAAATATCACTCCAATAACTATCATAAACATCTACTCAGTAAATGTACCTGTTCTTTATAAATTTCTGTCAAAACGGACATGGCTTCCAACCGAATTTCTTCATAACCAATTCCCAGCTGACTCGGAGTTAAGTAAAGAAATGCTGTAATCTTGTGGACAATCGTTTGTGTAATCTTATTTTTATTTCAAACCTGATGAATTTTACTAGGACTCTTTCACCACACATTTTGCATAGAATTTCACCAGCATGTGAATTGAAAAGGATACAGATTGAGCTAGAACGACCTGTTGAACGAAAAAATGTTAGAAGTCAAAATATGATAGAACCGATGAAGCAACAATGCTAACCAGTGAAACCTGTGAAGCTACGGTTACGGCAAAGTTATCACACTTCCGATGAATTTTCAATCATCGGACTTCCACAAGGCGATCAGTTTAAGATCAATTACATAATTAAACAAAATAATACTACTACCAGCTCTCTTACTCAATAGAAATTAAACTCACCGCCTTTTCCAAATGTGACCGGGCCATGTCTATATTTTTCGTATGCGAATGAAGAAGCCTTCCAAGTTGTACATGCGTTTCAGCCTGGATTGCTGATGACGGTTGAAATTGAAATACAGATTGAAGGCACTGTATACACTGTCTTATCTTAGGTGGGTCAGACGTTCTGAATGTTTCTGCTAGGCCCAAAAGTCCAAGATACGTTACATCGTGACCACTTCCCGCTATCGCCGCCATATTGGTTTTGTCGATTTATTTAACGCCCACGATTTACAGCGGATTAAAGTGTATGTGGTAGTATGTTACACTGAAATTAGACATCTTTGGCGCATGGTGGGATAATTATCGATAAATAATATTGAGCGTCTATCGTCTATTGGAAGACCATTCTTCATTGAGTGAAGGAAGCATCTTGCAAAAGAAATAGACCATCCTTTACTGCAAAAATACTTCAAGGAGTATTGTCAGCATTGTTTTATTTCGTTACTGGTTACGGATTGATCGAAAAAATGGTGAAAAATGGAAGGGTTGCGCAACCGCCACACTCGAAAAAAAAATCAACTGAGAAGAATATCGTCGAAAATTTAAAAAAAAGAAATAAAAAAAGAAATATTAAAAACTGGCCACTTTCCGTTGAATGAGCAGCGTTGCATGAGATCAAGAGAGGACTTTGTGAAATATAACGCCCCACTTAAATGACCTCAAATCATTTATATGAAACACAATATAAACACAGCGGTTAAAGGTCGGGCATGCGCGAGGGAGGGGATCAATTCTCGTCGGCCGCACGCAAATTGTCCCGCGCAAAATCACAAGAAACAAACTCCCTGCAAAATAAGCGAAGGAAAGTTGAACTGTACATGGAAATCTGTAAAAGGAAACAAAAGAAGCAAAAAGGAAAACTGGAGACTTTTCCAACGCAAAGCTTATTCAAGTACAGGTATTCTATTGATTTACCATTCAGTTTTGAGCTTTACCAAAAAAGTTATACGCTTTTAAAACACTCAGTGGCTTTTGGGATTTAGCTTTTAACTTGCGTGAGACAATTAAGTAAAGTGAACTTGGTTCTGAGAGCCTGATGGGCTGTGTAGACAACTCAGCCCCTTAAACCAAAGCACACCTGAAATAAAAATAACTATGAAGATCCTAAAAATATTGAACAGTTTGAAACAAGGTAAGTATGATTCTCACGGATTGATTCATGCCCTTCTTGAGAATGACATAACTTCCGAAATAAACATGCTATTCCAAGCGATTATATTTCTTACAACGAAGGTTTCTTGGTAATTTTGCGGAAGCCTAAAGAAAAATTGCAACAGTTTGTCAGTTTGTTTATTTTTGTTAAGTAAAAGCTAAACGAGTGAAGTAAATCCAAGAGAAACTTCGGATGAGTTAAGACTACGATTTTTAGATGAACAATCTTCGGGATTGTAAGTGTCATTTGCGTGTCTATGATTTTCTGAACATGTATGAGGCCATACATAGTGGCTGTCAAGTTAACGAAGGCTACACCAAGGAAAGTAAAATGAAAACGAATTTAAAAGCTGTTCACGTTGACTTGCTGAGTGACCAGAAATGGTTTCAGATCACGGCGAGGAAGTGATCTTATACCAAGAAAAACAAAACAAAAAACAAACAAAAAAAAAATTAAAAAATGGTAAACTTCGCAAATATCCCAGACCCATCTTGACCGAACAAGTCTAGTAATTAAGGGATTTCATGTATGTCAAAAAACTTGACATCGTAAAAGAATTCTTAAATACTCACGGAACATGTTCCTACCAAAGTCGTTGGTATGGTATTGTTACCTTGTAAAAGTATGAGGTTATCCAGAGGTTGCGTATACTCGGAGGTTGGTATAACGCATCCCTGCTGGTAATTTGCATCAGGTGAAACTGTACAATTGAAGTGAATCGGCTTGTAGACTAAAAATTGTAGGTCATACGCCTTAGTCGAGTTGGTAACAGTAATGAAATTCAGTTATTTGGAGTGGCTGAGTTTGTCAAATCAGGGTAGATACATAATAAAATAATGCTAGACTCGTAGCAACTTAGACGCAAAATCTCTATTTAGGACTGGTTCACTATCAGTAAATTAGTATTCATCTTAAGGGAGCTTTTCTGGGAATTGCTGAACAAAAGAAAAATAAATTATCCGTCAACAGAAAGAAAAATAATTTGATGATTACCTCTGAGTATTAGTATTAAAAAACAGATCGAAGTACGCCGGCGTGGGGGCCATTTCCGGGAAATACTAAGAAAATTTTCGCCGGGGGAGGCTTCACTCTAGGGTATGAACGTTTTCTTCCTTTATAACTACTCTCTCCAAGAAGTTTTCTTTTCCTATATCCAGAATCAAAGTAACGTATCAATTTCCCAACCTGACTATGTGTTAGAATTTTGGAAAATAAAACAAAAGAAATCGTTTCGGTTTAAATCGAGCACTAGACCGAAACCAAAACTCATCAGATTCTTTGTTGAGTTGTACTAAAATTTTTCATTCTCAAGGGTATGAACGTTTTCCTCCTTTATAACTTATTTCCCAAGAAGTTTTCTTTTCCTATATCCAGAATCAAAGTAACGTATCAGTTTCCCAACCTGATTATGTATCAATTTTGGAAAATAAAACAAAAGAAATCGTTTTGGTTTCAATCGAGCACTGGACCGAAACCAAAACCCATCTGATTCTTTGTTGATTTGTACTAAAAAATTTTTCATTCTACGGAACCCCAGTTCAACTAGGAAACCCTTTCCCTTTTAAAAAACACCTTTACCCTGAAGGAGATAGCCGATTCAAGTGGATTATCCCGGCTTTTGTCTGTTGTGGTAAATCTACTTTCGGCCCCTCCCACTTCCCGTCGCGTCATCATCTCATGATATCGAATGAATATTCGATATCATGAGATGATGGCGCGAATATCGTAGAAATTATACGATAGGGGTGACGTGACACAGGGGACTGGTGCAAACCAGTAAGGGCACGTTTCTCACTTACAGGCTTGCAAAAGCTTGTCCAAAACTTTCAGAGCTATAACTTTTCAGCTATGGTACAGTTTTGTTCACTAATTCTTGCATTAACGACGATTACCGTCGTTTTGACGCCTTCTTATGCTTGGTGGAGCCGTAGGAGAAGGAGTTGTTCGGCCGTTCGTTGTCAAGTTAGTAACTGGAGCTCTTGGAGCTCCTGTACTCGATCTTGCAACGGCGGAATTCGTACACGTACTCGGAGGAAAACTGTTACAGAATCCTGTGGAGGAAGTTGCCCATACCACCTGTCAAACACGATGAATTGTAATACACAATGTTGTCCTGTTGACTGTATTTACACCTGGGGTGCCTGGAGTGCATGTACAGGCTGCGGGAATTCTACGCAATCGCGGTCCACAAATATTATACGACAGAGCTCTTGCAACGGGACGGCTTGTCCTGCGAAGGAAACACAGTCCTGTTATACTGGAGTGTAAGTACCTTTCTTAATGTTCATTGTAGAGATTTGCGTTCAAATTAGTAGAATGGGAGGTGTGTGCGTAAGTATTTATCTAGTATTCGATAAAAGCCGTCCAGAGTGCTTTTTATCGATCATATTAAGACCTCTCCACCAACCGGCTCCTCTTCAAGAGAAAACGTATATGGTGGTATAAGTTGAAGTCAAGTAAACTGGTTGTTAAGGTGAAATCTTTTTTCATCTGCTTTTTCGATAAAAGCCATCGACAGAGCTTTTATCGATCAGGTGGTCGCAGAAGGCTTATTCTAAATAAACGAAACGAAACAATAATATAATATTTCATATTCATATAGCGCAAAATAACATACAGAGGATATGATCAAATGCGAGATATAACGAAACCGGGCGAGATATAATGAAACTAAAGAAATAATGCTGATATATTTTCTTATAAGCTAAGGATAACTTTCACAAGGATTTTGGAGTAATCGTAAATTGATAATAAGGATTTTTATTCATTTCGCAAAGTAATAATTTCAGAAGTTACTATTTTGCGAAATTGACTATTTTCACACTGCGGTGACAACTTGACCTCTTTCATGTCACAAAAATATATTTAAACATTACAAATTAGTAGATCACCAAAGATTTTTACCTCCTCTTATTTGTTAAACCATATTAAAATAAATTTTGCAAAACAGTAATTTTAGGAGAGATACTATTTTGCGAAATGGACTATTAGTCGATTTCGCAAAATAGTAACTCTTCCTAAATTACTACTTTGCGAGATGAATAAAAATCCTTCTTGTTAATTAACGATTACTCCAAAATCCTTGTGAAACTTATCTTTACCTTATTACAAAATATATCTGTATCATTCGTTTAGTTTTGTTATATCTCACCTAGTTCCGTTTCGTTTCGTTTCGCAAAATATTATAAGCCGTAACAGAACGTCGCAGTTACATTCACTTCTTAAACAAACAACTGTTGAGTTTAAGAACTTTATCTTGTTCATTCTGGTTGGTCCTAAATGAATTTAAATGTCAGTACAGGGGATGTTTTTGTTTTAAATACTCATCGATCGGGACATTGATAAAAGCTATCGACGGCGGTCTTATTCTTCGGATAATCGCAACGTTTACTTTCAGTTTCTCTTTAAAGCGACGTGGAAGTATCTAGAAACTTCCTTGTTTTCGTATTTAAAAAAGCTTAACTCGGACCTTTTCATAACCAAACCGTTGTGTAAATACGAACGGCCAGTAGGGAATGGTCAGATTATAGGGGGCCAACTAAATCGAGAATCGGTGACATCTCCTAATGCACCGAGATTGCGAAATACCAATTGTCTGCCGACAGCATTACAACATAACTTATATCATCGTCCATGATTTTGTGCAAAAGCTGACTACATGTATGAGGAGGTGCATCGTATAAATCGAAAATTAAAGGATATACCCGCTGCTAGTCCATTATTACTATTAATTTCGCTTTGTAAGTCATCTGAGATGTACACGAGTTCACCGTCTATTTTTCATACCGGCGCTTCCGGGGTATGTGTGGCTTAAAGATTAACAAGAAATCTAACCTTAACCTCTCATTAAGAGGTCAGTAAAGCTTGAGGAGGGTGGTGAAAGTTGCGTTGAGAAGTGTTTTGAAGGGTGCATTGAATGCAGATATAATGTCAATGATCTAATATGGATTTGCGGATAGTTCCAAGTTCCTTTCTACATGTCAAAATCCGTCCTCCTAAAGATCTGAATATCTGTTACGAGTTCGGGATATAAATTGTGTTACGGAGGGTTGTCCAATACACCCAAACCGCTGCGAATCGTCAAAGGCAGTTGAAGTCGATTCGCGGCTAAGTGGTGTTGTGATACTGGAGGTCTGAGAAACCATCTCTTATGACATGGAAACGCATACCAGAAGTCAATTTGCAAGAGACTTAAAAAATATTCCACATTGTCGAATCGACACGAATCGATTCGAATCGAACGACTCGACACAACAAATGACGACCCGTCATACCGGATGTCGATTTGCAAGACACTTAGAAAATATTGTCTTCTTCTGCAAATTGATATCCGGTATGACGGATCGTCATTTGCTGTGACGAGTCGTTCGATTCGAGTCGAATCGTGTCGAATCGTCAACATTTGCTACACTGTATTCTGACGATAGACTTCCGGTCGTTTCACGCTTTAAGAACGTGGAAGGTTCATGTTGGCATGTTCTCGTATCATGCCACTCATTTTTACACATTGCTCACGTGCACGCCCCTCGACTTCCGGTATGTTAATGCACGATTCGACTTCCGGCATACTATGGTAATTTCACATATTGCTTGCCTCTCGTATTCCTGTATGTTAACGCACGATTCGACATCCGGTGTGACGATATGTAAGAAAGGTTGAGGATTGCAACCAAGCCAAGTGGTCTCTACCGTTGGAATCCATGTTTGTATCCTTAGTATGAGGCGCGGGAGGAGTATTGCAAAGCCTCCTCGATAGAATGTTATCCCATCGCTGGTTACCCTTCCCACCCCTCCTCCAGAATTTCATCAGGAGCCATTTATATTCCTGGTATAGTTGAGTGAAGCACTGTTAGGTTAGCGTATGTTGATCATGGCAGGGATATAACTTAATAGCCCTTGCCAGGGTTTGAATCTTGGCCTTCCCATTCATAGTCTAGTGCCATAACAATACCTTGGACATACGGTACCTCTTGCGTTATTGATTATAACTTTTCCTTTAAAACTAAAATGCTCTCTGAGTATTGAGTGTAGTTTTAGTGCTTGCCTGATTAACAGATGAAACTAAATTCAAGGTGCCAGTACCTTAAAAAATGTTTTGGTATCTCGTCGAGAGGGGTAGTGGAATTAAAGGTTTCTTTCATACAGAAATTATCCAAAGTGTACTTTGTTATTATTACGTACGATATTTACAACAGATGGTAGCAGATGAACACTGGCTCAACCATTAGTTTCACATTCATTTATCGCGGGTTTACGTTTTGCTCACTAACACGCTGACATCTTCCAATGGTTTCTATTATCGTCTCAGTTTTCTGTAGGAATACGACTGCATACCCTTCAAAAATGAAACTTAGCGAGTTTCGAGCTCCCTCACCTGCTTAGCGGAAGGTGGAAATTAAACGCACACCTTTATCGTTTTAGTCACCTGTAATCGTTTGAGGGCTTTAAAACAGCAAATACTCACTGTCAAGCATGTTGTCTTATAGGTAACTCCATGAGAGCGCTAGCCTCTTTCCACCCTAACATGTCTGCTTTCTGAAAAATGTTCAGATTGCAATGATTTAGACACTCTCAGTCTGAGTGATACAACAGCGGGCCAAGGTGCTATAAAATGCGACATGTAAACTTTCGACCTCGTCGCCTGAGTCTAAAGGTCGCGATCAATACATTGATATACTGTCTGTACATCGTGAGATAAAAATGAGATTTAGCGTCAATTCATCTGAAAAAAATCACGGTGAACAACATTTTCTGCAACATTGAACTTAGTGATACTGAGTTACGTATAGTTAGTTAGCCAGTCTCGCCGAAATTATGGTCTAACAAAACCTTCGACTGCGTGACGAAGGGCAGTTCATTGACACATCAATGTTATTTTCAGGCTAACTTTCTCATAAAGTTTTAGTTTCTCTTTTACTTTATTAGGAGCATACGGATAGACATAGAGAATGGCGTTCTGGTTTATACTTCCTTTGGTCACACAAGCCGATACGTGTGAAAGTGTGCTCAATTCAGTTTTTGCTAGGGTACCTTATAGTTAACGGCGTTTCACGACATGACGGAAATCGTGCTATTCGCTCAGAGCGTCCAAAAAATTGAGTTAACGGCTCTGTAAAACAGATCTACAGCTAAGTTAAGGTACTTCGTTAGGTGACCTGTAATAAGAATAACTCAAGCCCTCCTCTGGCTGTAGATAACTGTGGCTGAGACGTGATACATGGATCCGTACAAATGGAAACGTATCATTTTATGATTAAATTGGTCAAACCTTCTGCGGAGTTCACCTGAAGGACTCCAAAGAGCACGTGAAAAACTATTTGTGAAGATAAAGCTGTTTGACTGAAAGAGATATATCTGGTTTGGTCTAATTTAGCGTTTAAAACGATTTGCCGGTGGTACGAAACAACTCGGGGTTGACCGTCTCAATCGATCTCTCAATAAGAATGGTATTTGGAAACTGACTAAAAATTCATGATCAGTTGGTGAAATAAGAAACACCCCACAGCTTGTCTCGTTTTAATCTCATTTGTCCTAAATTGATTCTGCTTTCTTCCATTTGGGATACTTGAACGGGGAGTACAACTTCGTTTCACACCTTTGTTTTCTATATATTTCATGGTTATCTTCTTTCATTTGAATTTGATAATGCTGACTTGTCGTCGCCCAAACGTCACGTTTTCGTCTATTTTATCCAAACAATAAGAAAAAATTGTAAGTGAGTCGGAAATAATTTGTAAAACAACATAATTAGATCTTAAGAATGACCAAAAACTCACTTGGATGGAACAAATTTCCAAATCCGACGTGGTTTGCAATGATAGTGTGACCAGTTTAAAAAACATCTACGCTTGCCTTGTTACACAACACCAGAACATTTTTTTAAAATGTCTGGTCGGCTCAGACGATGAATGAATCAATGTCTATTTAGTGTTTGGCTTTTCAACTACTTTTACTTCTTCTTTAAAGCACAATTTTAATTCCGAGTGAGAAAAGAAAAATAAGAAAAAGGGCGTCATCTGAGAGACAAATTGTTGATGTAGCCTCAGTGATAACTTTGGTCTGGCTCAGTGAGAAAAGCCCTCTCACAGCTAACACCTCTCTCATCTCCATTATTTGCGGAAATTTACTTGATGAGAAGTAAGGGCTGGTGGGGAGGCAAATCTAAGGATCGATTAATCTAATTAAATTTATAATAAAGTTCGGATATAACGTGAGCTGTCATTGGTTGAAAGAGAGCCCTATACTCTTATAGAGCGTGCCATATGAGCAAGAGTATAGAGCATAGAGCTAAGCTAAAGCTGTCACGCCATCTCCCAAATTGTACTATGTCCGACCTTTTCCGGGACTTTTCTCTAGTTTTTTTTTCTTTAATTGAAAGTGAAATTTCGGAACAGGCGAGTCGGCAAATAGCAATAGAAAAACTAAACAAAGGTCTTTAAACATGCCAGGCGCAGTAATTGACGTTATTAAAAATAATTTTCCACGGAACGTTACCACATTGAAAGGACATATCCTGTTGAAAGGCAATTTTGCGCACAACAGCTTTGACTCTAAATATAGGAGCGTGAGAATTGAAAGGAAGAATAACGACAACCGAGTAAGAGCCGGAAAAAGCTGTTGATAAAAGTTACCGAGAGTTGCTTAGCAAATTTTTTTTTGTTTCAAAAGAGCTACTAACATACAATTAATATACAATGGCGTCCAAGCCATGAAGAGTCGTTGCATTTATTTGCGTTCTTTCGGATATCGTCGCCACCAAGGAGAAACTGGATCGCTTTATGTCATCTGCCACTAAGACCGCACTTATTTTTGAGTATGACTTAATTAAGAGTGTGAATTAAGACTATCATCATGATGACTGTTATCATTAGTGTGATTAATATCATTTTTATATGCTACTATTAGCTGTAATTATTATGAGTTCTGGTATGAAGAGCATAACTTGCTCTGGTGGATTCCAAAACCTCATTTAAAAAAATGGCCTCGCAACTTCCATTTTTCTTTAATTGAAAGTGAAATCTCGGAACAGGCAAGTCGGCAAATAGATATAGAAGAACTAAACAAAGGTTTGTAAACATGCCAGGCGCAGTAATTGACGTTATTAGAAATAATTTTCCACGGAGCGTCAAGTTCCATGTTAACATTTAGGATTAGGTTAGGAGCCCGAAAGAGTCAATGAGAAAATGATCCGTATGTGATCCAAACAGGTAAGCGTCGCCACATTGAAATGACATATCCTGTTGAAAGGCAATTTTGCGCACAACAGCTCTGACTCTAAATATAGGAGCATGAGAATTGAAAGAAAGAATAACGAGAACCGAGTAAGAGCCGGCAAAAGCTGTTGATAAAAGTTACCGAGAGTTTCTTAGCACAATGTTTATTGTTTCAAAAGAGCTTCTAACATACAATTAATATACAATGGCGTCCAAGCCATGAAGAGACGTTGCATTTATTTGTTGCATTTATTTGTGTTCTTTCCGATATCGTCGCCACCAAGGAGAAACTTGATTGCTTTATGTCATCTTCCACTTATTTTTGAGTACTTAAGACACTTATTTTTGAGTACGACTTAATTAAGAGTGTGAACTAAGACTATCATCATAATGACTGTTATAATTAGTATGATTAATATTATTATTATGGGCTACTATTGATTGTAATTATCATGAGTTCTGGTCTGAAGAGCATAACTTGCTCTGGTGGATTCCAAAACCTCATTTAGAAAAATGGCCTCGCAGCTTCCATTACTTTCTCCTCCACACCATCCGCATGACAGTGTTTCGTGAAGAGGATCGCTTTATCCGGAAAACGATGAATACTTTCGGTAAAGTTCTCGAAAACACTAAAACTGTCCCGAACGGATACCCTCTTCCTAACTTCAATCCCATCACCGCGTTAATCTAATTTCAGGCTTTGCTGTCTGGAATCGATCGAATCACCGATGAGGTCCGACGACTTGTCACTCATTTCAAGTGCATGGTCGAAAAGTGATTGTACTCCATTTACATCATTCGTAAACAACTGCGAGGCGACGAAGAAACGAAGACAGCAACTACAAAAGCAACTCAAATGTGCTTCACCGCAAGCATTTAGCTGGAGTTTATAACCAGCTATTTAATCGAGCTCATATGGGGATCCCTCACAATTAATTACATTTACTTGACTCAAACTTTTGAGAGAATCTAATCTTTCAGTTTAAATTCAGTCTATTTCAGTCACACTTACTGTATGTCTCTGTTGATAGCTTTAATGTTAAAAGTTTTGAATCAAATATGAACACGAAGATCTTTGTGATGTTAATATGATCTCTGTACCTTGACCAGCAAGCGATACAGCAAGCGCGTTGGTTTAATCGTCAGGGAACTTGACGTGATATGAATCGAAAAAAAAACCAAGAGTTATTAAGTAACTTCAGATGGTTGAACGCTACCAAAAGAGCAGTCCTCTATCCTGGTCCATGGGAAAAAAAACACGCAAAAGACTATCGACCGAATTCTAAATTCCCATTATGTGGAATTCGAGTCTCGGAAGAAAGCAGTCCCGGGCATCATTGCATGCGCATTCCACTTATTTTGTAAATCTGGGACCCACCACGTCTGCATCCATGTTATTTTTCAGAAACGATTCGGTTGAGGAAACTGTTAAGATTTAGTTCGTTTGGTTATTTATTTGTATCTTTGTCTTTTTTTATCGTACGAAGATATATTAGGGCGGAAAATCGATGTTGCTCGTGTTAATGTTGCATATATGTGTATATATGTGTATATGTTGCATATATGTTGCATATGTGTATCCAAGTTCCCATCCATAAGCTAACTAATAACGTTACAAGATATTTGTAGTGATACATAATGCGTTGCAAGGATGTATCGATCTTGCAGTGCAGAGCTATGTTAGCCTTGATCAAAATCTGTAACGGAAATTTTACAAATTTCTTTAGTATCGAATTTTGACCCTGTGTTGAGCCAGGGAGCCTCGCCTCGTGCAGATAGAGCCGAATGCAAGCTTTAGGTGTCAAATTCCAATGCACAAGTCACCGTGGGAGTGATATCTATATCGCTTGGGTGAAGGCTAAACTTTACCTCCAAATTTATGGTGGCACTTGTTTATGTCGACTCCACCCACTTCTTCTCTGCAAATTTTAATATCAGTTTACTGATCCAAAAGTTCTGAAACGTAGCAACTGAAATTGTTCTCAGAGACAAGTGGTCTTGCCTCTTTATCATAATTCCATTAGGCAATAAAATTGATAGATATGCCTAAGCTAATTAGGAATTGTAATTGAGAACCCAATCCACTCGACCCTTTCACCGCTTTGTCTGTTTAGTCTCGCTGGGTACACCGCAGCAGGAAACCTGGACATCCAGCTGATAGACTCGAAAGCCTATCTGTGGAGGCTGCAAAATGATTTTCCTGCCTGGGCAACTAGCTATTTTACATTTTTGAACTTATTTTTGAGGCCTTGTTTAGTATCAATTTCTGTGCATGCTTTTTTTGTACTGCTTTGCATTTCATGAGATTTTCAAGTACACTTGGGCCTGTGATATTTAACGTGATTGACGGTTGTCGCGTCAGAATAGTAGCAATGTCGCGAGGTAATTTGACAGCATTACATAACACTGATGTTACATAATGTTTTGATTATGGTCAACCACACAAAGCGGTTGTTCAAAAACATTCAGTATTACTTTCCTATTAGAATATTAAGCTGAAAGGCGACTAGATGCGTGGCTCATTAGGTTCACTGAGGACCTTCGAGAAGACACACTCGAGAAAACGCCTTAATTTTCTTTCGAGCCATGACGCGTTGTGCTACCCTTGTACTAGTGCTAGCTGTAGTCGCTGTCATTTTGACGCCTTCAAACCCTTGGAGACGTCGTAGAAGACGGCGGTTTATCTGTAAGCCTACGGACTGTAAGTTAAGCCAGTGGAGTGCTTGGGCCGCTTGCAGCCGTACTTGCAAAGGGGGCACAACTACGCGCACTCGCCAAATAGCCTATCATGAGTCTTGTGGAGGAAGTTGTCCTTCGCACCCGCTGAACGAAACGAGAAGCTGTAATATACAGCAGTGCTGTCCAGTCGACTGTGCTTACTCCTGGAGTGCATGGAGTGCATGTACTGGATGCGGGATCTCAACCAAATCGCGGACCCCATTCATCAAAGTGCGCAATTCGTGTAATGGAAAAGCTTGTCCAGGAAAGGAAACACAGTCTTGTAAAACTGGAAAGTGAGTACCTACTTATGCTTATTTATACAATTTTCTTTGAATTAGCGGAATAGTTTGATTAGCTCATTTGGAAAAGTCATCAATTTGATTGAAGATGATTTGCTGTACCAAACACCTGTTGATGGTGAGTGCCGTTGTATGCAAATTGCGTGATTTTGAGGCAAAAAGACAGCAGATGAATAATATCCTCCGCAGGCAAAGAAGTTCTTTGTCCTAAGGAAGCATCTTCTCTGAGTCTCTCCTCTGCAACCTTAACGGCAAGACGTTGTTTTGCTCTTCACTAAAATCCCAGTTGGTCTTGCCGATGCCCTTTCCGATCCGTCACTGTCAGCCGCATTTTAAGGCGCTGTCATCCCGAGCAATCTTCATGTTCCGGTAAATTCGGCTGTCGTTCATTCATAAAACACACGCTTGAAAAGTTTTTTCGCTAACTGTCATGTGAAAAAACTCGCGTGTTTTTATGAGCCACAATTCGGTCGGATTTCACTAAACATTTCACTTTCAGATTCTATATTAGACCTTCAGGCAAGTGTTGAATTCGACCTGCCGAATTGTTAAGTTTGTAAACCATTGCATAATGCGAACTTTGATGGTTTGACATTTTTGACAACTTTGGTCTTGTACAGCTAAGCAGATTATTTGAACCACTCTAATAGGGATTCTAATTGGCTAATTGTAGCGTGATTTATGAGAGTAGTGGGATTCTAATTGGCTAATTGTAGCGTGATTTATGAGAGTATAGAGCATGCTGTCGAAACTGCAGTTCGCTTTGGAAATAGACTGTGTTTTGAAAATGGAAAGTAATAGGTGGGGAATTTAACGGCTTCTTTATTATAAAACAAATAGAGAAGCCTTGACTGTGCTCTGTTCTGTTGTAAAGCACTTAGGAAGCGTCCAGAGCACTCAAGAAATGGGGAGAAACATTTGACTACATCTTGTGCTTCTCCCTATACTTCTTTCATACTCTAGCCGCTTCTTGCGTGCTCTACGACAAAACAGAGCGCAGTCAAGACCTCTCTTTTTATGAATTAAAAAATTGATAAATTAATCCAATAGTGAATGCCGTGGATGAAACTAATTTTTCACGGAGTGTCAAGTTCCATGTTAACATTTAGGATTAGGTTAAGAGCTCGAAAGAATCAATGAGGAAATGATCCGTGAGTGATCCAAACAGGTAAGAGTTGCCAAATTGAAATGACAAATCCTGTTGAAAGGCAATTTTGCGCACATCAGCTTTGACCCTAAATATAGGAGCATGAGAATGACGAGAGTCGACAAAGAGCCGGCAAAAGCTGTTGATAAAAGTTACCGAGAGTTGCTTTCCACAATGTTTATTGTTTCAAAAGAGCTACGAACACAAATAATCTAAAATGGCGTCCAAGCCATAAAGAGTCGTTGCATTTATTTGCGTTCTTTCCGATATCGTCGCCACCAAGGAGAAACTTGATCGCTTTATGTCATCTTCCGCTAAGACACTTATTTTTGAGTACGACCTAAGATTGTGAATTAAGCCTATCATCATAATGATTCCTATCATTAGTATGATTCAGAAAACGATAAATACTTTCGGTAAAGTTCTTCAAAAACACTAAAACTGCCCCGAAAGGATATCCTCTTCCTAACTTCAATCCCATCACCGCGTTAATCTAATTTCAGGCTTTGCTGTCTGGAATTGATCGAGTCGCCAACTTCTAGTGAGGTCCGGCGACTCGTCACTCATCATCGAGTGCATGGTCGAAAAGTGATTGTACTCCATTTGCATCATTCGTAAACAACTGCGAGGTGACGAAAAAACAAAAACAGTAACCACGACAAAAACAATTTAAACGTGCTTCACCGCAAGCATTTGGCTGGAGTTTGATAACCAGCTCATATAGGAACCCTCACAATTAATTACATTTACTTAACTCACAAACTTTTGAAAGAATCTAATCTTTCAGTTTAAATTCAGTCTATTTCAGTCACACTTACCGTTGGTCTCTGTTGATACCTTTAATGTAAATATGTCATCTGGATCATTTTTAATTTGTCTTCATATATGTGAAACTGAGATGTTCGAATAGCTGGTGTATGTTGTGGATGTAGAAGGAAAGAAACTGTCACGGTGGTTTGGGGGAAAAAAAAAGAAAGAACAACAGCAACTTATATAAAGCAATATCTGGAATTTTAGAAAATGTTTCCGGCTAAACAGCTTTCACGATTATTTGCACTGTTGTGGAATATTCCTAGTTTGTTTCTTGATCAAAACCGTTCCTAATATGATTTCAAGCCTTCATATAGTCTTCCCACTTTGCGCGCGAGTTTGTTGGTGTGATGTCTGTACAGATTTTACCAACTTAATAAAAGTAGATATAGAGGTAAATGAGATGTTTCTATTGAATATTTAGCACGCGCACATTCGAGAAACAATTGACAGCTTTGCACGTAGTCCGTATTATCATCTTTTTCAGCGGTATGTGTTTATTTTGTTGACAAAAATGCGGACCGAGACCAAAACTGTTCCTTTGACTTAATACGTTTTCAACGTTAGAAGGTTACATCATATTAACTTACCTCCGTTAATCATTCATTCCAGATAACAGAATCAAATGAACATGCTAACGATGATATCTGAATTCGACCTTAGCCAAACATGAACGACTCCACAAGATCACTTTCTCCAAGCATCGAAAACATTTCCATTCGTTCAGTGTTCTCAAAATTGCTCTCTCAACAGCCAATAATGACACAAAATCCACCTTGCAACACACTTGCAATTGTTCAAACTTCTAAAATCAAAAGACCCCACCCAAGAGTAACACACCGCGATGTTTACCATAAATTTGACTGTAACCAAACCACCAAAGAGAAAACGCAGCCATCTTTCGTAGAAAAATCGTTGTTCAATAAAAACACCTCTTAACATTGCATATTGTTAGAAGTAAAAACTCTAACACTCATTGTTTTGTTGTCTCTTTCTTTATTCTCTCTTACTAAGTAAGTTAGTACAACGGGGACTGGCTCTGATCTCTCTACGAAAGTGTGGGTCACCGCTCATAAAGGTGACGCTTACTGAGCTGTCAACACCTTGAACCTTCGTCATGCTTCTACACTTAACAAGCGAATCACGCTAAGCTACGCGGAGCGGAGTTCGCATACCTTCGAACGTACCTTCGCAATGTTTACGCTTTACAAAGTGACTTTCTACCTTAAATTTCTTAGTCTTACAGTTAAGTTCGGGCAAAGCAAAAACAAGATTGACAATATAAAAATTATAATACACCTACTAACAGAATTAAAATCAAAGCTGAGGAGATATGCCAAAAGAAAATAGTCCTCGAAAACTGTTACATAACAGCAGAATAAACAGACAATTCGGAGAAGAAAGGGCGTACCCAAGGTACTGCCCCTAAAAGAGCTACGTGCTATTCGTATAAATTACCTGATTATAAATTCAGTGTGAAGATGAAAAGTACTACATGTTTACACCTTAAGTCACCTATAACAAAAAGGGGTGTCGAACGTGCTAAATTAAAATTTAAAATCTATTTTCCGGATCAGGAATTCAACATGGAATTAGGCTAAAAACGAGAATATAAAAGAGGTAAAAGTATAAGGGAGAGTTATTTCCAGGAAATTCCTGTATGGGATCAATGTTTTATAAGGTAGAGTCATTCCCTTAGTAATTAATAATCTTTTGGCAACATATTGGAAATATACCGATATCTAGCCGCAAACCGCAGTTTACGCAAAAACATCTGTCTCCATGTCAAATTCACGATTATAATAAGGAAAAGGTGACCAAACTTTACCTGTACGATAAGACCGCCAAAAGGAATAAGAAATGATCAACTGGCTTATTACAATGTTTACAATGTTATTACAATGTTTACAATGTTTACTGAATGGCTTATGGTAGTATATTATTTCCATTCATTTCCCAACACCAATATAAGAAACCCTTATAACGTTTTCAGATTAGATTTATTTCTTTTTTTATCGTTTGACAATATCAGTCAATCACGTTACCACACGAGGCGACAAAGCTTCCTAGGAGCCACACAAAATCGTCCATGGTTAATTTTAATCAGATATTCATCTGTAGATAGCACCGAGCAAACCAATCCAGAAAAATGTAATCGGCACACTCAACAAATCATTAATCTTGCAACACAGCTTGCCGTTAAAGAACTGCTCAAATCAAAATGTTTGGTGCGATTCATCAACACTTCAAGCAATATTTGATTACAAATTTTCCACTCACTCTCGTCGTGAAGGAAGAATAACCATGATTGTGCTTAATTCAAACCAAGTCTATTTTAAAACAACAACATACCGAGATGAACAAAGTCAGCCATTTACCTAAGCACATGGTTGTCTTCACTCTGCTCATGTTCCTGGGTTACTTAACAACAATAAAATAGGTCCGCACAATATCGACACATCTCCCCCTTTTAAGGAATAGATAAACAAAATACCTCTTTGAGAAACTTAACTGAACACACTCTTAAATCTAGAAATCTAGGGCTTAAAACACGAACTGTCCCATTATACGATTGATTGAACTTTTTAAAGTTCATATTTCACAAAAACAAATAATACTATTTAAGGTCGTCCCTCTAACGAATAAGTCTCCTAATGAGTCTTCCATTGGAGGTCCTCTGTTCTGGGAGTGAGTCATGAGTGGGACTGGTGTTGCTGTTTTCCGGAACTTCGGTATCCCCTCCTGCCTGGACATCTTTTTGAGTAGACTCGCTACTGATTTCTGGAACCGGGAATATATTCTCTGGCGTATCATGACAGGTGGGAGTAGGGACTTTCATAAGGTGTTTCCGATTTCTTCGCAACACTCGACCCCCACTGTCTACGATGTATGATCTAGGACTTTAGTCCTTACTAATGAGTTTAGATTCTGTAGTCCACTGCCTCTCTATCCAGCTTGACTCTTGCCCAGTCCCCTGGTTGGAGTGGCGGGAGCTCTCTTGTGCCATTCCTTCCGTCAAAAGACTCCTTACAGCCCCCTTTTGCTTTAACATCTGCTTTCTTGACTGCTGCATGGTCTTAAGCTTTCTCTGTGAGACTTTGACCATTTTTGGGATGGTAGTTCGTATCTGTCTTCCCATGATCAGCTCTGCCGGTGTCTTTCTTGTAGCTGGGACAGGGGTTGCACGATCGGCCATAAGAGTAAGGAACGGATCCTCCTGTTCTAGGATCCGCTTGGAGATTCGTACTCCACTTTCTGCAGAACCATTTGCCTGGTGGTGATGTGGGCTTGATGTAGTATGCTTGAATCCATACTCTGCTTTGAACTCGTCGAACATAGCTGATTTGAATTGTGTGCCGTTATCGCTCACAAGTTCTTCTGGAATACCCCATCGAGCAAATACCGACTTCAGCTTCTGGATCACAACTTGGCTTGTTATCTCCATCAGGTTTAATATCTTAATGAACCTTGAGTAGTAGTCCATTACCACTGAGTATTTCTGACCAGCTAGCTCAAATAAATCTGTAGAAACCTTTTTTACCATGGCCTGTCAGGTAGGACTTTGGTAATCAGAGGTTCTCTCCTCTGCCACAGTTGGTGTTGCTGACAGAACTGGCATGACTCCACCTTTGCCTTAATCTCTTTGGAAATACCCGGCCACCATACGGACAGGTTGGCACGTTCGCAGCACTTTGTTACGCCCTGGTTGCCTCTGTGAATGCTTTCCAGTATTTTCCTTCTCATGACAACCGGTATCACTAGCTATCACTATGCGATCATCGTATGTTAACAGACCATTGCCTATCGACAAGTGTCCACGTGCATCAATGAACTCTCGTATCTGGAGTGGGACTTCTTCCACACGAGTTGCCCACCCTTGTGATGTAACTGCAACCAACTTTTGGAGCTGTGTATCCACTGCACTCGTTCCTTTAATTCGCTCCAGTTGGTTCTTCGTGGCTGGCCTTGTAGATTCGAACAAGTTTACGAATGCTTGAACATCTTCCACTGTATCGGGTTCCGCTTCAAACTCGAGAGGGCTTCTTGACAGAGTATCGGCCACTACCATTTTCTGGCTAGGTGTGTGGTCTGCTAGATGGTTAAGCTGAACCGCATTAGGCGTATTAGGAGTCTTTGGCATCCTAATGGTGTCTTGTCAAGATCTCTCTGATTAATCAATGGTACTAATGGTTTGTGATCTTTCAAGGGCTTAAAAGTTGAAAGCCCCACCAGGTAACGTGATAATCTCTCACATGTCCACACTACTGCCGGGTACTCCTTCTCAATTTCCGCGTATTTGGCTTCAGTCTCTGTGAGTGTTCTTGAACAAAGCGACCGGGTGGAGTTGGTCACCAAGGCCTTACATCAGAACCTCACCAATGCAATAACTACTAACATCTGCGCAAACAGCCGTAAGCTTCTTAGGATCATAGAATGCTTGCACCGTAGAACCTTAAATCATCTGCTTGACCTTAGCAAATGCCTGTCGCTGGGATGGTCCCCAAGTCCAAGTTCTATCGGACTTTAACAGATCGGTATTGGTTGCATTATTGTAGCAAAGTTCGGTACGAACTCTCCAAGGTAGTTTATGATACCAATAACTCTGCGTAGTTCGTTGGTGCTTGAAGCTCTGTGATCGCTTTCACCTTTTCAGGGTCTGGACTTAGTCCATCTACACTGACGACATGTCCAAAGTAGGTTAGACTGTCCTTCTTGATCTCACATTTCTCTCTCAGTTCTGACTCCTGGATGACTTGTTCTATTTAAGTTTTCATCATGCTCCTCAGCTGACCTTCCAAACACAATGACGTCATCTATAATTGCTTCACAACCTTCTTCATTCCTTAGCATATCCGTCATTTCTGAGGTACTCATGATTCCAATTGGTAGCCGTTTAAAACAGAATCGCCCCACTGGAGTGATAAATGTGGTCAAATTAGCACTATCTGGATGTAGGGGTATTTGCCAGGATCCACTTGCTGCATCAAGCTGGGAAAAGTACTGAGCACCAACGAGCTTTGGGGCAGCATCTTCCAAGGTAGGCAATACGAATCTTGCGCGATTCACAGCACTATTCAGCTTTCTCAGATCGACACAGATCCTGAGCTTTTACTTTTCTGTACTGGTACCATGGTTGCACACCATTCTGTTGGCCCGGTTACTCTTTCGATGATGCCGGCTTCTTCCATCCGCTTAAGCTCTTCTTTTACTTTGGCATGAGAGGGAAGGCAATTCTCCTTGCTGCGTTGATACAGTAAGGTTCAGCATTTCCATTCAATTAAATCTTTACTGGCTCACACTTAAACAGATCTATATCTCCAAACAACTCAGCATCCACCTCTTCTAATCTCGCAACTAGACCCATTTCACAGGCTGTTTGACGACCCAGCAAATTGCTCGCATAATCTCCGCTAATCACAAAAATACCAACCTCATACTTCTTGTTACAATGTGTCACTGCTGTCTTAAATTGTCCAGCACACTGTAACCTGCCTCCTGGACTGAAAAGGTCTATCTTGGAGGGATGTAACATGGGCTAATTTGGCAAACTATCAAACTAGACATCGAAATGGCGGTAATATCTGCAGCCGTATCACTTTTGAACACTACTGGCTTACCGCCTTGAGCTGAACCTTCCATTTACCATCCTGATCCGAATCAGCTTACAATGCACCTAAGAACCAACGATCAACACTGCTGCCATTTGTAGCACCACCACCACTATTGTTGTTCACTTCGCTCACAGACTTGAGCCAACCTACAGCTGCAAAATGACCCACCTTTTGGCATTTCAAACACTTCCTATCTTTTGCTTAACACTGTTCTGGCTTTATGTGATGGAGACCGTATCTATTACATTGTTTTTGACTTTGTTTTTGGGATGAATACTTTTTCTACCCTTTTCCTCTCCTCCAAAGAGTAGTCACTAGCGTCTTTTTGCTTCGGACTTCGTCCACATCCTTCGACGCAAGAGAATTCTGATCTGTAGCCTGAGACCTGACCATTTCTGACTGATGAGCTATTTGGATCGCGGTTTCCAGCGTTAAATGCGACTTCAACTGCAACTTCTGAGACAAATTTTTATTCAGGATTCCAATGACAATCCTATCCCGTATGTGCTGACCCCGACTGGTTCCAAAATCACAGTGTTCAGCTGATTCATAAAGGCCTCGTACGAACGATTCGACCGTCTCTCCTTGGTTTGATTCCTTTGGTGAAAACGTGCTCGCTCGTGAATTATGTTCCGTTTTAGAACGAAATGCTCATCAACCTTCGCCAAGATCACGCCGATTTTGGAATCATCTCCCTCCGCTAAGGTAAAGGACTTTAAAACGTGTTCGGCTTCTCTTCCCATTGTATAAATGAGAGCACTGACGTGCACAGCACCTTCCTCTTCGTGAAGTTTCGTCGCGAGTCAAAATCGTAGGAAATTGTGCTTCCAATCAGGCCAGATTCGATTTTTCCAAATCGAATCTCTCCGGAGGGCTTAATTTCAGAATTTTCCTTGTTTAACCACTGCCACCATGTCTTAAAATTTCAACTAAGTTTATTTTGAAACAACAACAAGCCGAGATGTACAAAGTCAGCTATTAAGCTAAGCACATGTTTGTCTTCACTCTACGCATGTTCTTGTGTTACTTAGCAACAATAAAATAGGTCCGCAAAATATCGACACAGTGCTACAGCTACCCACTATTATCACAGCATGAGTAAAACGCTTACTATAGATAATCTGGTGTCTTTCATCTGTCCAGTAGTATCGCATTTCTCATAAAGCGCGGTAAAGTACATGTTAAAAACGCAGAAAAGCCAAAATTTTTTCATTCTAATTGATGATTCCATTTTACGGACCGCTCCCTCCGAATCCCGTGTTAATTCGTTAAAATTTGAACACCTCTCAAACCAAAGAACAAAAACGACGCTCTGATCGGTGCGAAATACATGCCCTAATGCGGCGATCTGATAAGTGCGAGATACATATCCGAAATGATTTGACCACAGGTAGCCCAAGCTCCAGCTGTGGGATGATTATCTTGCGCAATAATAGTCATGGCGGAATTATAAGAGTTTGTATGGGAATATTTACGACCGCTCTAAGGAATAAAAAAAAAAACGTCAAATTCTCAATAGAAATACCTCGCCTTACTTCCACAGCGTATCACTTGTTATCTGACCACCTACTTTGATGAAAGTCGCGAGTTGTCCATTTCGAAGTTTTCCACATACAAGGCTGAACACTCCAAGGCTGAACACTCCATTTCCGAACGACCGATCCGAGTAGCGAAAAAATCCCAGCGCAAAATGACCGGGCGGGCACATATCCAACGCAAAATCCAAGCACAAACTGCAGTTTCATTTCAATTCACTACAAACTCAATCTTCCCTGTACAAGCGACGCTAAGCCGTAGTTTGCTTCAAAAATGTCCAGTTCATAGGTTTCAAACAGCCCGCGTACACATTAGCCTTGACACACGACCTTTGAAGGCTGGCTTGGAAACCTTGCCTCCTTTTTTAACTGAGCCTCGCCGGGGACCACACCGTAACTTGGCACGAAGAAATTGTCTTAGCACCACGGGTGCTAAGTTACGGTGTGGTCCCCGGCGAGGCTTAGTTAAAAAAGGAGGCAGGGTTACCGCGTTGGTTTTCAACGGTCGTGTGTCAAGGTTGATGTGTACGTGGGCTGTTAGAAACCTAGGTCTCTGCTGATAGCTTTAATGTTAAGATCTCATAGGCATCATTTTGAATTTGTCTTCACACATGTGAAATTGAGATGTTCGAGTGGCTGGTGCATGTTGTGATTGTAGAAGGAAAGAAACTGTCATGGTGATTTTTTGGGGAAAAAAGGAGAAAGAACAGCAACAACTTATGTAAAGTAATGTTTGAAGTTTCGAAGATGTTTCCGGCTAAACGGCAAACTATGTTGCTTTTATTTTGTCCTCATTGGCCTTGCCCTCTTTTTTGCTTCAGCATATTCTATTATGGCAGAAAATAGATGCGAAGAAACTGATGGCTAGCCTCTGCTAAAAAAAATGCTTGGTTTAAATGTGCATGCACCTTAAATGCTGAATGTTTGCTTAGGGTTAGGGTTAGAGCGTGTCGAGCGTGCTAAATTAGACCTGTAAGATAAGACCGCCAAAAGGAATAAGAAATGATCAACTGGCATATCATAATTTTTACTGAATGGCTCATGGTAATATATTATTTCCATTCATTTTCTACGTTTAAATAAGTCAAAAAACACCTGTAATGAAAATTCTTGCTCGATACCAATTTTTTTCTTTTAACAATTTGATGTCATCTCTTGTTCAACGAGAACTAAAAAAGTTGAAAAGAAGGAAAGGTAGCAGAGCATAGAAAAGGCTAAGTCGAAATGGAAGTAACTTATTTGCGTTGCTACTAAGTTTAAAAACAATTTCTGTCTGTGTGGTTTTCTAACCCTGTTGGTTGTTCAAAATCAGTGCAACGAATAAGCCAACATTTGAAGTTTTATGACAGCTTAACTGTCAACCAAATTAAGGAGTGCTATCTTAACCAGGCTGCCTTAATTTTCGAGATCTTTCCTCACCAATCTTTTGTTCTGAAAATGCCGATTTGCTTTGTACGAGCTATATCACAGTTTTGAATGTGCAGGCCAGCGACTTTCCCATTTTCCATTTTTCTTTAGCCTTTAAATTCTGTAATCTATATAGCATTGAAGATTATGGTTTTCTAAACGCCAGATTGGTTTCCTTATCGCGCTTTTCAATATTTCATCGTAAGTGGGTTATTTACAGTAATTAAAGCACCCCTTTTCCTATCTCGGACGGTAGACCAGCTAATTTGTGGCCACCGCTAGCTAAATGATATGGAAGTCACAAATCAATAGCTCATCAATAGCTCATCAATAGTTCGCCTATCAATAGGAAGTCGCTAATCAATAGGAAGTCGCTAATCAATAGGAGGTCGCTAATCAATAGGAGGTCGCTAATCAATAGGAAATCGCTAATCAATAGGAAGTCGCTAATCAATAGGAAGTCGCTAATCAATAGGAAGTCGCTTATCAATAGGAAGTCGCTAATCAATAGGAAGTCGCTAATCAATAGGAAGCAGGCGGTGTGCGCACTCTGATTGCGTTGCATCGTGGTCGTAAAAAACAAAAAG